GTGTGGGTAATAAACTACAGCCATGCTCTGGAGTGGTGTACTCGGTACTGTGAATAATGTGTTACAGATATGCCTCAAAAAAGTCACACCATCTCCTATGATAAGAATGACAAGGAAGGTAGAGACCTCGTTTTGACTTTAGAAACCCACCAAACTGATCAGATCAGTTAAAAACTACACATTAAGATCCTCTGCTTATTTGGTATTGCTGAAGAAGAGAGGAACCTGCCCTTTCGATGCTAAAACTCCTTAAAACAAAATATCTAAACTCTGTTTTTATACCTTTTGCTTTGCTGAAGAGCACATACTGTGCCGGACAGCCTCTCTCCAAGCACCAGGCAACAGAGTGCTGGGTCGGGCAGCGTGTCTGGGGGCCCAGAGCGTCAGCCTCACCCCGCTGGATGTATTATTTCTAGTCAGCCTGTTAAGCTGCAAATGCAGCTGCAGTTCTTCCTGCCACTTCCTCCCCCAGCTTCTGATCCCTGTCCGCTCTAATTTTGGAAGAAATGATGTCCTTCAGTGGTTTACAAAATATTTTGATTCTGTGCCCCAGGTTTTTATCTTTCATTCCAATTTAAAAATTGTGTACTGTTTCAATCATACAAATAATATAATCAACCTAACATGCAGATGCCCCCTGTATCCTCATGCCTTACCTAATTTGATCAGATCTTTACTCATATTTGCTCTGGATCTTTTTTTTTTCTTTTAAGGAAGTACGATGAGGCACCTGCAAACTCCCCGATCCCATCTTCCTACTTCGCTCCCAGAGGTGACCATTGGCAAGAATTCACTGATGATCTTTGCATTCATATTTTATACTTCCGCTACATATTGTGTATTCATAGGCATTGAAAAGTGCTGTTCTACAGGTTGTTAACCCATTTCCCATGTATAAAAAAGTGCAGCTCACTGCCAGCATTAATTTAACATTACAGGTAGGAATGCTGTGTTTTCTGGGATTTGACATTTTTGGCAACTGAGAATGACTGTATTTTGTAAATGGAAATACCACTACTAAAAACAGAATGCTATCAATAGAATGATGTCATTTGTTTCCAAAGACTATTGATACACTAGAGCCATGCGAAAATAATAATAAAAGCGGGCTATTTCGTGGCAGCCTTTGGAGGTGAGGTTAGGATGTAATCTGTGAGTTATCTCAGAGTAAACGCTGCAGCTGCAAGCACCACCGGCAAGTATTCTCGGGGAAAACGGGAAACGGATTCATCTTTATATGTGTGTCATACATACTATGGAGCAATTTGCAGGTTGCTTTTTTTGTTCAACGTTGTGTTTTTGATAATTCCTCATTTTTCTCTATTACACGTATTGAATAGTGTCACATTATATAAATATCCTAATTTATGCATTCTACTATTGGTGGACTGGTATCCATTTAAGTTCTTAATATTTTGCTATTATAAACAGCTACAATGATGATTATCATACATGTCTTCTTGGATGAGACATGACATGTAAGGGGGTTTCTCTGGATTATTCTGAGTTGGAGATTAAGAGCTTTAATTTCACTAGGCATTGCAATATTTTTCTTAGCATTTACACTAATTTACTCCTACCAATGTGGCGGTGAGAGTTCCTATTTGTCCACACCATCAATAACATACTTTTCCCCGAAGACTATTTTTTAAGAGCACTTTTAGGTTTAAAACAAGATAGAGAGGAAGACACAGAGATCTCCTATTTCCCTCCACCCCCACACATGCACAGCCTCCCCCATTATCAGCATCACTTATCAGAGCGGTACATTGTTATCAAGGATAACCCAACACTGACATATCGTAATCACTCAAAGCCCATGGTTTTTACCTTGAATCTCACTCTTGGTGGTGTACGTTCTATGGATTTGGATAAATGTATAATGACATATATCCCTCATTGAAACAGTATTTTCACTGCTGTAAAAATCCTCTGCATTCTACCTGTTCACATCTCCATCTCCCCTTGTCCCCAACTCCCTGGCAACCAATGGTCCGTTTATTGTCTCCATAAGTTTGCCTTTTCTAGAATTTCATTTAGTTGGAGTCATACAGTATGAAGGCTTTTTAGATTAGCTTCTTTCACTTAGTAGTATGCACTTAGGCTTCCTCCATGTCTTTTTATAGCTTGACAGCTTGTTTTTTTAGTGCCAAATAATATTCCATTGTCTGGAAGTACCATAGTTATTCACTCACCTACCAAAGGACATCTTGGCTGTTTCCAAGTTTTGGCAATTATGAATGAAGCTGCTATAAAGATCCCTGTGTAGGTGTTTATGTGGACATAAGTTTTCAGCTCCTTTGGGTAAATACCAAGGAGCAGGATTGCTGGATCATATTGTTAAGAGTATGTTTAGTTTTGTAAGAAACCACTAAACTGTCTTCCAAAGTGGTTGTACCATTTTGCATTCCCACCAATAATGTATTAGAGTTCATGTCGCTTCGCATCCTTGCCTGCACTTGGTGGTAGTATTCAGGATTTTGGCCATTCTACTAGGTATAAAGTGGTGTCTTGTTTTAACTTGCATTTTCTTGGTAATATATGATGCCGAGCATATTTTCATTTATTTGCCATCTGTATATCTTCTTTGGTGAGGTGTCTGTTAAAGTCTTTGGCCCATTTTTTAATTGAGTTGTTTGTTGTTGAATGTTAAGAATTCTTTGTGCATTGTAGAGATCAGTCCTTTATCAGATGCATCTTTTGCAAATGTTTTCTCCTAGTCTGTGACTTGTCTTCTAACTCTCTTGATATTGTCTTTTGCAGAACAAAAGCTACCAGGTAGAAAAGGAATGAAGCCAGAAAAAGCTCATAGCTGTGAGAACATAGACCAGCTGAGAGAGTGGAGATCTGGCTAAGACAAAAAAGCCAATAGGAGGTAGGATTTAGGCATATAATATTTCACAGATGGAGCAGGTCTAAGAGACAACAAAATCTGGGTTATGAACATGGTAGTGGATTGCCGAAGTGGTGTTGGGATGAAGGTCACCATTAGAAGTAAGGATTCTGGAAAATAAGTATGTAGAGCCTTTGAAGTCACCCATGATTGTGTTAGCTTGGGGCTAAAAGGAAGGCTGTTACATGCCAAAATACTATGCTGTACTCCTGAAACTATAATATTGAATGTCAACTGTAATTGAAAAATTTTTAAAAGAAGAAGAAAAATATGAGTAATAAGATGGCAATAACAAAAAATAACGAATGAGGGGACTGCTTAGGAAGTTAGTAGATTAAGACATCATAAAGGGGTAAAGGGAAGCCATGAATCTTAAAGGAGGTGTTTTTATGTGAGGACATTTCAATAATCTCTTAAAGTAGTAAGAGTTCTGTCTTTTCCATGCCTTATGATTATTTGGGGGTATGGAGGAAAGAGCCACTGAAAAGGCCTTAGCGGAATAGCCAGGCTCCACTTAAGACTTTATCTGTAAAAAGGGGATAAGGTTTTATGCAAGGAACTTCAGTAAATATTTTGTGTTTAGAGGCCGTGCCAGGCACTTGCCAGGCACTGGGGATGAAGTTGTGTACTGAATAGATGAAGTCCTCACCCTCGTGTAGCTCACGGTCAGTCTGGTGTCTTGCAATTCAAAACATGGACCACAGACCACCAGTAGCTGCATCGCTTGGGAGCTTAGTAGAAATGCATAATGTCAGGCCCCATCTCAGGTATACTGAATTGGAACCTGCAGTTTAACAAGATCCCCAGGTAATATGAATGCACATTAGAGTTTGAGAAGCACTGTTCAAGACTTGATTGAGTCATTTTTAGATATGTTGGAAAGTAGAATGTGTTATAGCCAGCTACCAGCATCTCCTTCCTCTTGGCACTTCAGTCCAAAGAGGCGCTGCCCCTTTTAGTAATAATAGGGGAGCATCGGACACCAGCTTGACCAATCAGCATTCCTTTCCCAGGTATTTGACAATGGGGAGGAAGAAGCCTTTCTACTGGTTGGACCATTTAATGAGTAAATTCAAGTAAATTACACTGGCCATATTCTGGAAATCAGAAAAAAACAGAAGGCAAAGAGAACAATTAAGCAGATGTATGGAGAAAAGCAGAAATGGTGCGGATATGCTGCTTAAATTCCTGATAGTTTTCCTATTCCCCATCGTTGTCCACTTTATAATGTACTTCCATATGGTTTAAGCTCATATGATTCGGTTGTTATTATTTGGAATCAGAGTTCCACTTACTGTAGCAGATACGGGTGAATTCAGAAGGCTGAATGCAAAGAAAAGGGTGTTTTTGCAAGTGTGTGTGTTGTTGGAGGTTGTTGAAAGATTTGAAGATGGGGAGCAGGTGGTGGTCCACAGTATGATGTGGTAGCTCTGTGCAGAGAGAGCAGAAGAGGTCTTCCAGAGCTCACTGTCCACATCAGACACATGACAAGCAATTACTGATCACTCACATTGTCTCATTTGATCCCTGCAACAATTGGACAAAGAGGCAACGGGAGCTTCAGAGAGGTTAAGTAACTTGTTCATGGCTGCCAGGAAGTGCAAGACAGTCATAAACTGGACCTCGTTGTGCCAGAATCCAAAGACCTCTACCTTAACTACTTAAGCACCTAACCTCTATCACAGGTGCTCAGAGCAGGTTACAAAGCATACCGGTGGAACTTGTGAAAAATACAACCCTCCCACTGATTCTGCATGAGTCTGGAGAAACTTTGTTAAAAGCTCCGCAGGTGATTTTGCTTTGCATCTAGGGAATCTCTGCCTCATGCAGTCCTTCTAGGTCAGGAAGGCCTGACCTTGGCAGTGCATCAGAATCACTGGGGTGCTGGTAATAATATAGATTCCGGGGCCCCGACCGAGTTTTACAGAGCAGGATATTGGTACTGGGGCGTCGGAATCTGAATGTTAAAGCTGTCCAGCCCTGCTTGGGACTTGCGACTTGCTCTTAGCTGGCCTTTTCGCGCGTTGGCCGGTTCAGGCGGTAATTCCGGAGCGCCCCGCCAGGGGGAGCTGAGGAGCCGCTAGCGGCTTCCGGGAGCGATGCCGAGGGCGGAGCGAGGAGGAGGGCGGGGCGGGGCGTGACCCGGAAGCCGACGGCGGGTTCCGCCCCTCGCTCGTGGGGAGGCCGGATAGGAACGGCCCACGGAGCTACCACCGCCCTTCGCGCCCTCCTCGCCGACATCATGCTCCAGTTCCTGGTGAGTGGTGGTGCGGAGAGGCGGGCCGTGGGTTTGGCTCAGGGGTCTCGGGGGCCCCCGACCCGCCGAGTCGGCCCGGGGTCCAGGTCCTGCGGTCCGCTGGTTTTGTTTCTGCCTCGCTCACCGCCTTGGCCAGTATTTGTCTGCAGCCATTCAAGTCCCTAAAACTCTGAGATGTCAGACAGAACATGCATTTTCAGAGCTCCTTACTGTGTGCGGTGCCCCGCGTCCCTCATGTAACCCTCGTGCTGAAGCTTTTGGGTCCTTAATGACTTTTCGTAACGCTCCCCCTTCTCTCCAGCCCCGACGTAGACACTGCGCCTTCCCTGACTTCGAGCCCTGCTGTGGTTGGCGTTTTTGAAAAGGTCGGAGGGCGGAGGGACCAGGAATGAAGTGTAAATTAGTAAGCCACCTCACGAGGCACAGAAACGCAAAGTCAGAGTTAGAGGCTCAGGGAGCCCTCGTCAAGCTTTTTATAGCTTCCAGACTTCGAGGTTGGCTGGTTGCTGGCGTGAATCAGACCCTGGTCTACAAGTACTTTTTCCGAAATGCTCATTGTAAGGGGGAAATGAGTGTTACCATGAGTAAACGAATGATTTCTTATGGCTCTTTATTTCATTTAAAAAAACCGGTTTTCTGGTCAAGCTCAGGATATTTCAGATTGCCTGGTGGAGGTTTCAGGAGATCTTGCCAATTAGATTTCCAAGTGAAGGTCTTTCTTCCAGGTTGTGCCTTAACAACTTGATGCTTTCGACCTCTAATTCTGGTAAGAAGAGGCAGGTATTCTCATACCTTCCAGGTGGCCAATGAAATCTGGTGTCTGGGCATGAGATGATTTCTCAAATGTTATATTCTTTATCAAAAAGATTAGGAAAAAATGCTCCTTCTGCCCTTTTTGAGATGGTAATTGGTTTTGATTCTGTATACCTTTTGGGGTAGGGGTCCTGGATGCAAACTGTCAACTAAGACAGGGCTGCTCGTTTGCTTCTGGAGGTTTCTCCAGTGTCCTACCTAGGTGTTAATTTAGGAGTAACAGCAGTAATTACTGTTTTTTTTTTTTTGGTTGTAGAAAACACTCAGTTTAAAAACAGTATCAGTTTGCCCCAGAGTGTAAGATAATATAATTGAGCATCGGGCTCCAGCTGTAGCTCATTGATAAAGTGGGGGACATTGATTCAATTATACTTTATCAGTGCTTTTGCAGAGTGAGTGTATTTAGTTTTGGAATAAACTTGCTGTGTATAAATATGAATGTGACTAATTTGAAAATTCAGAATTCTCAGCATTGAAGGAGAGATGCTTGAAGTCTTGCATTAAATTCCTAGCTTGGAAGTAACTGGAACATGGATCTCCTTCCTGCTCTTGCCTCTTGAAGTGGCAGCACTTGTTGCTCCTCACTGCATCCGTTGAAAGAACTGGATAGTATTACTTTTCATCTTGATTCTACCTCTGTCACGTGATTCACTAACTCACTGAACTTGAACAAGTCTTTCTCTTCGCTTTTAGCCATTTCATTTATAAAACAATGGGGTCGAAGTAGATGATCCCTAAGATCTCCCCTCTAGCTTTTAACCCTGTGACTAGCCATCATGTCGTAGTGTTTATGAGGTCAGACTCTTGGGTTTGAACTCTAGCTCCATCATTTCTAAGATGTGGCAACTTGGACAGGTTGTTCAGATTCTCTGTGTTTCAGTTTCCACATGTGAAAATGGGAATCTACCTCATGGTTTTGTTGTGAAGATCGAAAACGAGTTAATAAAGTACTTAAAACATGACAATAAGGACTCAGATATTGTTCAATTTCTCTTTCACAAGGTATCAGTAATTCTGATTTCGTTTCTTCTCAGGAACAGGGATTAGTTTACCTTCAGAAGGGTGGGTGAAGGTAAAAGTTTTGGCAGTGATGGAACAGTCACAAGTTAAACATGTGCCATGTCATCACATATTTCGGAACCTTCGGACATGTTTCCTACAGTTGTCATTTCCTGGAACACTGTTTGAAAACCACTGCGCTGGATTGAGCTGCCTATAAGTTGTTCATTCTTCCTTGGATTACAATATTTGCCCGTCATCCCAATCTCAAAAACGCGTTCCTGTGGTTCTGCTGATTCTTTCCCCCTTCCTTTTACTGCAGTAGCTTCTTTAATTGCAGTATGGTTTAGCTACAGTTGTTCTAAGGAAGCTTTCGAAGCTTTTGAAGGGAAGCCTGATAGGATACTGCTGGGGGCTTAGTGTACGGTGCCTGTTGTACTGTTACTGGAATCATGTATGGCTTTTCTTGCCTCTTGAAGTGGCAGCACTTGTTGCTCTGAATCACCTGCTCTTTAATCCCTCCTCCCTTGGCCTTGGGATCCTGCATCTCAGTACTTTCCGACATTCTTAAACATTACAACACACATGGCTTTATTTTTGTGGAAGAACCTGCACAGAGCGAAGGTGTCCGGTCTGGCGCTGGCCCCTCCAAAGGCAGGGGGGATCAGTGTCTTGGTGCACTAGTTGGGAAATAGCCCTATGTATTCCCGTGTGTTTATACTGGCTGCCTTTCCTGCCTTCTGAGTACTGGGTATTGCCCAAGGCTCAGTCTTTGACTCTGCTCTTTTCTCCAGCCAACTCTTAGGGGTGGGTCCTTGTCACCTCACCTCTTTGCCAACATCTTCCAAAACTACTTTGAGTCCTTTTCTCTAAGTTCCAGGTCCCTGTCATCAGCTGCCTACTAAACATCTCTTGTCATATCCTTTATCTCAAACTCAGCACGCCTGGACTCATTACCTCTTCCCCACGCTGCAACCCATGCCCCACACCCAACTGCTTTGTTGTTCCCAGTCCCGGTTTTCTAAAATTCGAAATACTGACACCATCTTTTATTTCTCTCCTTTATTCTCCATATCATGTAGCTGCTATGCCTGGCACATACATTTATGCGCTATGTAATCTTGGACAAGTCACCTAATTGCTCTGTGCCTCAGTTTCCCCACCATAAACTGGGCAGTAACCGTATCTGCTCTATAAGGTTGTAAAGAATGGGAATTAATTCACGAAAAAGAGTTAGAATGCTACCTTGCATATACTGTAAGCACTCAGTAAATGTAACTATTGTTTTAAGCCAGCCAGTCTTATGAAAGTTCTGTCTTTATGTTCCCACTGCCAAGTTTGTTGAGCAGGTCTTTTTTACTCCAACTACGCTAGCCTAAGTGGTTTTGAGTTGAAAGAGTTCTTTTAGGTTCTCTAGTCCAGCTAACATGCTGATGCTTCCGTCTCCACTAAGATCCAGTTTGCGTTCAGGCACCTCCAGTTACAACAGGTTCACTACTTTCTCAGGTAATGGCTTTCATTTGTGGTCAGCCTCTCCTTACCTGGTTCTTACTCCTTGATGTTAGAGCACTGCTGTTCCACATGACAACGCTTTACATGTTCCAAGAGCATTTTGGGGGGACTTCTCTCTATCTCTTACTCCACCAGTCTTTTCTTTAGGCTAAACATCTGTTTCTTCTACCCATTCTTTATGATTTCAGGTTCGTGCAGGTTATCCTTCTCTGAATATTCCAGTTTTTAAATTTCTTTTTAAAACACGCCACTCGTGATAGGTCTGCTCTGCCACGGAGAAAAGCAAGGCTGTTGCCACTGGTTCTACATATGTTTCCTTTGATGCCCTGGGTTCTGTCCTCTCTTGCAGCTGCCAGAGTGACATCCAAATTTAATGACCTTATTCACATGCTCAGAAACTGTCAGTGGTCCCTGTGTCCTTCCACATCAAGTCGCTGACTTGACTTTCAAGGCTTGCTAATCTCGCTCCATTTTCCTTTCCCAGTACCTCTCAACACACATGCTCTGTTTTAGGTTAGCCGGGCGATCCTTATCAACCTGTGAACCTTCTTGCCTTCATACCTTCCCAGGTGGTTTCTTTTTTGTTTTATTTATACACACACACACACACACATATATACGTACATATGTATATATATTATATGTATATATAAAACAAAAAAGATTTCATATGTATATATGAAATACTACATATGTATTTATACTTATATTTATATCTGCTATTTCATATATATATGTGTATATATATTTTTTTACCTTAATCCTCCTGCCTTCCCTACTGCTCTTAACGGCCCAACTCCCATCTTTTTGCACGAGCCTTCCTGATGACTTTTAAGTTCCTGAAATCTTTATACCATTATGATCTCCTCATTTATCAGGTTGTACATGTCTTTCATCTTTTTTTAAAATCTTCTTGCCCCTTGTTCGTTATATCTATTTCTAGGTACTTTTTAGTTTTGTCTTTGTGAATGGCATCCTTTTTAAAATTACATCTTCAAGTTGTTGCTGATGTGTAGAAATGCTGATAATTTTGTCGTATTGCTTCTGTATCTAGCAGTCTTCCCTGTCAGCTCCAGTAGTTTGTAGATTTACTTGGAAGTGAATCAGGGAAGGCAGCACTGTTAAGGCAGTCATAGCTCCAGTGAAGGCAAAATTGACAGTTTTGTGTTCTTTTCCAATGTTTATCGCCCCCCTGCCGAGCCCTCCAAACTAGGACTTACAGTAGAAACAGTGAGAATGGATATCCAACTTTTGTTTCTCGTTTTAGTAGAAATACTTCTCAGGTTTTAGTCCAGTGTTTGTGTTTCTGATAGTTGCTAACAGATTAAGAAAATTCGATTTCAAGTTTAAGAGTTTTTATTGACTTTTATTGGCTGTTGACTTTTGTCATGCTCTTTCCTCATCCGGCGATCATCATTTTCTCCTTTAATATAGTTAATGTGAGTTACATAGATTTCTAAACAAAGCACTTAAACTGCATGGCCCATTCAGACCATTTGGTGACATTTTGTGTTTTGTTCACTGAACTTTCTTGTATTTTAGTCTTGTCTTTCTAGAATAGATCATAAATTCCATGGGAAGAAGCTACATACCTTATACTTCGATTTCCCAAGCACATGTCACTTAGTTAATACTTTGTGATTGACTTCATTTATTTAATTAGATATTCCTCTTTTTCCTGATTACTCCTCTCAGATATTCATAAGATATTTGAATATTTGAATCAACTTGTTTGAGAACAGGCAAACCAGTTCTACCTGATGTACCTCTTTCTGGAGTTTACTGCCTAACGTTTTCATGAATGTCCCTATTTAGTTTATTGGCTTGATAAAGATTAACAGCTTTTTTTTTTCTTTCTTCAGTCTCTAAGGCAAACTATTGAATATAAAACCCAGCTTACATCTTAAAAAATGTGCTTCTCTGTGATGGGAGTGGAAGGGGGGATGTAGGTTATCTCCTCAACAGATTTTTGTTTTAATGTACAGATTGTGGGTTTTATTACTTGAAGTAGTTGGTAAACACATCTAATAATGTTCCCCACACCATACCTGAAGTGGTTAAAGACTAAGACACAAAACATGAATTTTTTCCCTGCCTCCTTGGAATAGAGAGGTCTTTTAACAGCCTCTGTAGCTGAGACTGAAATTGAGATATAAAATTATCAGTTTACCTTTTATCAGTGTTAGATAATGTATACTTCTGGTTTTCTTTTGGTTTTAGATATCCTTTTAAATACTAGTTGTAGCTACATTTGCTAAATAAAATGAAATTACTTTTAGATTTCTTAAGTCCTTGTCAGTAAATATAAGATGATTCAGATTCTGTGTCATAACTTGGGTTGGGTGTGTACTTTTTGAAGATGTAATTTGATGAGTCATATTTCAGATCTGCCTGGTAGTATTCACTCTGGGGTATTGCCAGGAGCCACCTCAAGATTAAAATTGTGGCTTTATTCACACACATAACTTTTTTATTGGGGAAGCAGCAAAACGATCAGAAATCAGATTGCTTTGGAGCTGGCGCTCTTCTTTTTTGACTTAGTGCTTTTTTACGTTAATAGATTTAGTGTTGTGACTAACCCACTCATGTATCCGTACATAAAAACTAGTCAACTGACAGCAGTTTCCTTGGAGCTCTCATATGCAAAGCCAACCATTTATCTGAATGGTCCTTGTTTTTTACTCTGATATTTCCATTCCTTTAAAATATTTATCCAATCTGGAAACCTCGAAGTTGTCTTTGAGTTTCTCAGTTTATCCCATATAGCTGATATTTTACTAAATCTTATTGATTTTTTTTTTATTGTTTTGAGACATAATTCACATCTACGCTTCACTCAAAGTTTAGAATCAGTTGTTCTCAAGATATTCACCGAGTTTTGCAACCATCACTACTGTCTAATTTTTTATCTAATATTTCATTACCACCCACAAAGAAACCCACACCTATTGGCATTCATTTCTCATTGCCCTCTCCCTGGATGACCGCTAATTTATTTTGTGTGTCTTTGGATTTGACAGTTCTGGACATTTCTTTTAAAAGGAATCATACAGTACATGGTCTTTTCTGACTGCCTTTCACTTAACAAAATGTTTTCAAGGTTTATCCATGCTGTAGCATGGATCAGTACTTCATTCCTTTGGCTGATATTACGTTCTATGGATATGCCACATCTTGTAAATCCATGTACCAGTTGGCGGACATTTGGGTTGTAGCCACCTTTTGGCTTTTATGAATAGTCTTACTGTGAACATTCTTGGGCAAGTTTGGATGCGTGAATCAGTTCTCGTGGGTATATACCCCGAAGGCGGAATTGCTGCATCACATGGTAATTCTGTTTTCAAAGTTCCTCAACTTTTTGAGGAATTGCTAGCCTGTTTTTCAAAGTGGCCAAACCATTTTACATTCCTCACCAGCAGGGTATGAAGGTTCCAATTTGTCCACATTGGAACATTGCTCCTTTCAATTAAAGTCACCTTAGTGGGTGTGTCGTGGTACCTCATGGCGATTTTGATTTGCATTTCCTTAATGGCTGATAATGTTGAGTATCTTTTCATGTGTTCATTGGCCACTTATTTGTATATCTTCTTTGGAGAAGTGTCTATTTAAATCCTTTGCCCATTTTTAAATTGAGTAATCTGTCTTTTTATCATTCAGTTATAAGAATTTCTTGTATGTTCTACATACAATTCCCTTATTAAATAATTTGGGATTTGCAAATATTTTATTCCATTCTATAGGTTGTCTTTTCACTTTCTTGATGGTATTCGTTGAAACCCAAACATTTAATTTTGTTGAAAGTCCAATTTACCAAATTTTTTTTTGTCACTTGTGCTTTTGGTATCATATCTAGGAAACTATTCCTTATCCTGAGGTCATGCAGATGGAGTGCTTTGTTTTCCCCTAAGAGATTTGTGGTTTTAGCTCTTATATTTAGGTCTTAGTTTTGTTTATGACGTGAGGTAGAGGTCCAACTTCATTCTGTTGCATGTGGATACCCAGTTGTCCCAGCATCATTTCTCAAAAACGTCTTTCCCCCATTGAATGTCTTAGCACCCTTGTGGAAAATCAGTTGACCATAAATTGTAAAGACTTATACCTGGACCCTCCATTCTATTTCATTGATCTTCACTGCTTTTTAGGAAGAAAACCAATTCATTCACATTAGCTTGCCACCTCCTCTGCAGGGAATGCTGTGGGGGACCACGTGATGTGGAGTGGGACCGTGGGGAAAGCGGCCATCTGGATGGACTACTGATGAGGTTTCCAGGGCTCGGCCTGGAAGGTATTAAGCATTCATGGCCTGGAGAGAGGTTTCACATTCACTCGGGACCTTCTGTCACCTGCTCCAGGCTGATTTCTCAGACTAATGAGTTACCATTCCTCGGATTTTGATTTTAGTTTTTTAGATATTTATATATTATTTATTTATGTTTTTAATTATTTTCTATTTAACCTTGCCTATGGAGCATCCGATGAACAACATACAAAAATGCTTTCGGACTTCCTGCATTTTTCCCCAACATTTTTCTTAATGTGCAACATTTATCTTCTTATGTTGTACGTTTAATTTTACAGTATCTCATTGGTAGACCAGGCAGTATTCTGAAACTGGAATTCGATATGACTTGTCTAGAGGTCCGTGGTTTTTGTTTTGTTTTGTGTTTTACAATAACTGATGTCTGATGAAGTTGACAGAATGAAGCCACATTAGATATACCACTTTTATTTTGAGATCCCGTTTTAAGAACCAGGAATCGTAGAATGTTGGAGCTGGGAGGAGCCTTGTTAGTGTAATGTTTTTATAAATCAGGAATTCAAATTGGCAAAGCTCCAAAGAGGTTAAGTGTCTTGCCTACAGATACACAATTAGGCAATGGTAGAACCAAAAGTAGTTTATTTTTCTTGAAATATTTTCAATCCCATATTCTTCTTATTTGTTGTTAGAGCTAACATTCTCAGTTGATTTTTTCCCCCTCTTCTTTTAAGCAAATATAATACTCTTTCTGGGTTTGGAAAATCTCTGTCTACCTGGTTTCAACCCATAGGAGTGAAAAAAATCTTTTTGCCTCTCAATCTCACCTGGATAAAAATATGATTTCACAAGATGTGTCTGATCAGTCAGATGATCAGAAAGTGGTCTATATTAGAGACTAGATAGCCTCCTTTATGCTTCTTAATTTACTAACAACAAATCAATTGAAATTATGCTTTTGATATGTCAGAATTTCTTCTTTTTTTCTGTCATCGTATAGTTTAGATTTTGAGTGTGTGTTTGTATCTAGCTGAGGTTGTCCTGACAAGTCACTTCACCATCCTGGGCTTCGTGCTCTTGAAGTATAAAAAGATTAAACTGAAAGTCCCTTCCTTTTCTAAGACCTTTTTAAATTGAATACTTTTTATTTGATATCATGAGGAATAACAATACTCATAACCAAAATAAAAAAAAGAAAAACAGTTAAAGCTTTTAACAACAACAATCATAATTTTGGCTTGGGTTTCCAGAACTTACAGTCAGGTATTTATGGGGGTCCTGAGGGGCCAAGGAGAATTTAGGGTAGATTGATTCAGTGCTACCATTTATTCTTTTGCAAGGACATTTCTACATTTATTTTATAGAAGCAAGATGTAAATTTCACACTGTGCCCTATCCAGCCCTAGACTGGACCCTGGGGTCTTCTAACTACCCAAGCCCCTGAGGAGAACATTGTCTGTACGGTTGGGTTCGGTGTCACATGGCACCGAGCTCAGTGTAACTCTTCCTGTTCTGTTCTTTCAGCTTGGATTTACTTTCGGCAACCTGGTTGGAATGTATCTGGCTCAGAATTACAACGTAAGTGACCATATCCACATCCTCCACGATTCCATGAAACCGATTTGTGGTGACTTGTCTTTGTTGAAGAAAGGTGTGCCTTCCAGCATCGATGGGGTCCCTAGATCTGAGGGAAAAGTCCTGGATTTTGTAGAAAGATTTTCCATTTGAAAAAATAACCTAAGTCTTAGAAGCATCTGTCCTCCATATCACCACAAGAGGGCAAAATCGCATCACTTTGGATGGTCTCATACTGCTCCTGAGCTGTGTTTGTTAGCCGAGAATTTTAAGTTAGATTCTTAAAATTTTATGGCAAATCATGCGACAAGTGAGAATTGAAAGATTAATTGAATAATCTTTTCAGTCCCCCTACCGGGTAGTACAGATGACTGAGAATTTTGGAGGTGGATCTCTGTAGCACAGCACATTCAAGGAGGACAGAGTTTTGTGAAGTGGGGAGTCGTATTAGCCTCACTTTATAGATGTGGTAGTAGAAAACCAGTAGCAAAACTGCCCATCAGTGGGGATTCTGGAGAGATAATGCTCGTTTTAAAGAGACAAGGATACTCACCTTTGTAGTGAAGCTTTTTCTGTGACAAAGGAAATTCCCTCTGTCAGCCTTCACTTGAGTCATGTGGTTTTCTAGGCAGGAGCATATCACGTTTATTGGTTAGATGTACAGCTTCTAGTCAGCACTGGATTGAGGGGCTAAGTGGGTATATACAAGCTGAAATCGGTGTGGCTTTCAGAGAGGGAGCATACTTTAACTTACAACTTCAGAGATCCTTCTTACACATTTACGAGGCTAAGGAACACCACTATTTAGCAGGTCTCTTTCAGAGGAAAATAAAAACTGTACAATAACCATTTATCCTTGGAAGAAGAGAAGTAGAAGAATATTGATTAGTTAGATACAAAATTATAATAATCTCTTTTCTCTTTAAAGATACCAAACCTGGCTAAAAAACTTGAAGAAGTTAAAAAGGACTTGGATACCAAGAAGAAACCCCCTAGTTCCTGATGCCAGCTCCAGCACTGCGTCCAGGATCCGCTGATTCTACTCTTCTCGAGGGCCTCCTTTACCACCTGAACCAAAAGCTTTTGTCTTACCTTCCAGTCTCTGCTAGACCCTGCGTTGCCTTACAGCACAAATGGGGCCACCAGTTAAGAACTACCCTTACTTTTCTAACATCCTCTCCTCTTCCTCCTTCCAGCTGCTTGGGAGGTCCTGAGGCTGGAATTACGGTGCTAGATTAGTAAACATGACCTTTAATTAGCAGTCTCTCCCTTATTCTTTGGGATATCTCCTGCTTTTTTTCGAAAGAAAAACCGATGAGTTTTATATAGCCGATCAGATACAAATAATGCTGATTTCGCAGTTTAGCAATTATAACAGGTGTTTAAACATTTGGTACTAAATTATGATGTTTCAAGGTAATTAAAACTGAAATCTAGAAGCCAGTTTCTGGTGAATTATCCATTTATTTTATACTGTTGTCAGTATAACTGACATAACTTCACAGTAAATCAATTTGCTACTCATTAACTGAGAAATTATATCGAGAACCCCGTCAAGAACTGGGGAATTAAGAAATATGTAAAATAATGGCCTCTGTCCTCAGAATTCATAATCTAATATGTACAGTTTTCCTTAATGATGTATTTGATTTGGCTCTTTTCCCTCAAAAGAATCATACTTATGTTAAGGAATTACAGGTGTACTTGACATTACATGATAGATAAGTGACAAGTTGTCTACAAAGGAAATTTTATACCTTTTCACATTAAAAAATTATTTAGATTATAACTTTAGTGATTCTCATAAGAAAATTTTTGGGGTTTTTTTTCTGCAATCAGAAATTACCATTGTAATTTGTCAAATGTATAATCAGTCCATTTTTTACAATTAAACAAAAATGTTTGAAAACATCACTTTTCCCCATGAGTCAAGGTAAGAGAGTGATTTAGAATGAAGGGCCTCTCCCACCCCTAACTCCTAGTTTCTCTTCCTGGGGGCAGGCAACTGTCACCATTTTACTTGAGAAAGATTCTGTGCATAAACAAATATGTGGGCAGGGTTTTTTTTTTTTTTTTTATACAAGTGATAACGTATACATAGACCCTGCCCCAGTCTTTTTTTCTTTAATGGAGATCATTCCATATAAGTATGTAAGGAGCAAAGGACATCTTTCCTTTTTTGGCTGCATAAAATTCTATCTACTGAAGATGCCATAATTTATTTAATCTATTACTCATGAGTGTCAGGTTGTGTCCTGTCTCGTGCTGTTTTATCCTGGTGTGCGAGACATTAGAATCGTATTGTAATTTGGCTTCACCTTAGAGGTGTGATCATGGGCAAATGGCTTGTTTTTCTGAAACTTGTATTCTCTGTAAGATCGGACGCAATACCTACCTCATAGGGCTTCCATGAGAAATACCTGACAATGTATGTGATGTGTTGCATGGCACTTTGCAGATTTGCCCAATAAATAGTAGCCCTTAGTCCAAACATGCTGCTTTTGGTCAGAATACTTTTGTTTCTCTGCAGTCATTTTTGGAACTAGTTTATGAACCATGCAAAATTTGTCATCATTTTGTAGTCACTCTCTTGGTTGTTGATGAAAAGCTGCAGTATCCGCTTTGATCATACCACCTCGCTCACGAGATTTGATCTTAAATGACTGAATTGTTACTAGGATGAACTACAGCCTCGAAGGATAAAGGTTTATCACCCATGGTGGCATTCAGAATGCGACAAGCTTAGTGTTCCTCTTTATCCGTTGTGATACTGTTATTTGTGTGTATGGTCTCCCAGAGTGGCTTCTTTGGAGGTGAAGGTCACTTAGATATTAGGAGATCAGATCTTTTTATATTATTTATACCTTATGGACAGAGTTCATTTGGACTCAGGAGTGACACTTAACCTCAATGATAGGCTCATTTCTACCAGTGGGAGCCATCCAGGGAACCAGTTCTCGTGTTCACCTTCCCCAGCTAAACTGCCGCACAGTGGACACAAGCTGACTTAGTGGGCACTGTTCAGACACCCTCTCCTTGTCTTAGGTTCTTATAGCAGTGAAAAGGGGCTCAGAGTTCTCAGGCAGGATTATCTCCACTGAGATATAGAAGGAACCCAGACCAGCACAGATTTTAGGGTGAGTAGTGTGGGGGGTTGCATGCAGCAACTGTCACCTTGGCACTGAGTTATGTTCTCTGTGTGTTCTTTAGGGACCCTTGCCTTATAAAACCAGTGGAGGGATGGGAAGAGCCACCATGAGACATGCCTTCTTTTTCCTTTAAGAAACATTTGAAAACTGTTGATGTGATTTAAGCAAACTTATCACCACATCTGACCAAGAGAAAGGTTACTCAGAATACCACCGAAGGTTACTCACACATGAAAAATTAACTTCAGGGTGGATGCTGGGAACCTAATGAATACATTGAACTTGAAAAGCTTATCCTTAAACCTCCCAAAGGGAGAGAAAAACCAAAACCACCTTATTTAAAATCATCAAAAGGGGCTGGATTTGATGTTATTTTATGTATTTTAGTTCCCAATTGAAGTCTTTAGGTTTTTTCTTCTGATTTGGTGTTTTATGTGAATAAGGAGTTACGTGCTTTTGATTTAAAGGGACAGCTTTATTTCTTTTTATCTAACTCATTTAATTTTCATTTGTGTGACTATAGATAAAGTGACGACGTGTGGGTTTTCCAGGTGTCTGCGTTCTGGTCCGTGGAGCATAGATTCACACGCACAGTGTTTTCATTGCCACTAAGCAGTTTGCTCCCTAGACGCTGTGCGGTGTGTGTTTTTCTGCTGAGGCCTCCCGCATTTTAACGCTTTTTCTGTTACTCCTCCTGAAGGAACACTATATACTGTCCTGGAGCAAATGAAGCTTTTCTTAAACTCCCCGTCTTGGACTTTGCACATAACATTTCCATTCCTTACACAGATGAATGAGTTCTTTTTTCCCTACTGACTGTTAGGGCCTTGTGGAAAGGAACAGGGTGGTGAAGGGAAAATATTTTGAGATGTCGCCTGGTCTTAAGAGGGGAGTTTGTGACACAGATTTTCAAATGTTCAGTGTATAACTTTCCTAAATCTGGCTGCAACGTATTTTTTCACAAACCGAAGACCTAATGGACTGCCTGGTTTGTGAGGTACTGGGAAACAGAACAAACAGAAGTGCTTGGGGTTGGCACCGCAGACCCCGAGTCCTGGGCCTGCCTGAACCATTGCCTCTGCGGTCAGTAAGGCCTTCCGAAGATGCGTCATCCACCGTACAATTGCACAGGATTGGGACAAGAAAAATGTGCCACGTAAATAGTGCAGGCCGTTGTGCTGCATCCATTCCCTGAGGGCAGCCCTAGGGAGAGCTGCCTGTGGACTCAGGTGGCCTCTGTTTCCTTTGTGAGCTAGTGGTGTGGACATCTTTCCATACCGAGAGTGGTACTAGTGTTTAGATAAACTTCCTCAATCATGGGCCCTAAACCTGAAGCCAACTACTTTATTTGGTGTCCGACTGGAAAAAAAAAACAAAACACATCTAGTCTGACACTGAAGGGAAAACTAGCACTTTTTATTGCAAGGTGGCACATGAGTCTTTATGCCGTGTAAATGCTATTGTAAAAGGTATGCACCATGCGCTTCGCGGGTGACTTAAAGGAACTTCAAAGGCAACTTCGACTAAGCAAATTTGATTGATAATTGAGAAAAAGACGCAATTATACTTAGTGTCTTTGCTTCTCAGTGTCATCATCTGTCAGATGACCTCGTATAAGATGATCATTTACAGCTTTTGCATCCATATAGTGCTAGAAGGTAAAAGTCATAATCTATTTGCAGGAGGCATAAGACTACAAAGGGGAGCTGGTATTGTCCTGCATGGAGTGGTTTTGGATGACAAGGGGTTGTTAGTCATGTCTGATGTTTCCTGTCACTGCTATGAGCAGTCTTTTTGGCCTGGGTCTCTGGTTTGGGGAGAGGACAGTGCTGTTCTTTAGAACGGCCGCTAGCCCAGACCGCAGTGAGCGCGCTCTCCGAGTTGGCTGCTGGGGTGCATCCAGGGAGCAGGGAGCTGCACTGCCTTCCCTTTGGGGTCCACTCAGGTTCTCGAATAGCTAGACAGTGGCCAGTCACTCTAAGTCAGCTCAATTCCAAGTCAGCGTTCCTTTTTCTTCATTTGTTTATACTCCCGAGGTCATAACAATGATCTGCGCCTTTGTCTCATCCTCCGACTGAGGGGCTCAGTGTCTCTGTAACGGGTCAGCATCTGACGATTTGGCTGCCCTGACAATGGGAGTAACACTGTGACTTTCTGAACATTTCAGAGCAAAATAACTGTAGAGATGCTGGCTCCGATCAAACCAGCTATTTTGTATCTAATACTGATAGTTTATTTGGGCTCTTTAGTTCATCACTTTTATAAGTGGCCAAATAATTTGACCTAAGGTAATTGACAGGGCAGAAGCATTAATTTTCATGGTTAAACCTGGTCAGTCATGCTGCGGTCAGAGTGTTGACCGTCACAAAAGGAATTTACAATTTACAGATACTTGATAAACTAAGGGAGTGACTTCATTGATAAATTATTGTGAGAAGACAGACAGCACATACTAACAGTAGTAACTTGAAATCAGTTAAAAACAATAACTGCGGGATATTCTTTTCCCATAAGCACGTAACTTGTGGAAATCAGAATTCTGTAATGCCAGGAAACGGCAGGAGTTGGGAGCTATAGTCAGTCATATAGAAAAGACATCTGTAGAGAAAATGGCATGGTTTTCAGGAGGAAAAAGGAGGCCTTGATTTCCAAAGTGATTTTTCTCAAGGGAAACATTTATTGAGCAGTTACAGTTTACTATATTGTATAAGTTGCTGGAGACTTTGAGGGATATAAGACATCTCCTGTCCCCTCAAGGGGCTCTTCTACTTGTAGCAAGAGACTGATGTGTTTAGACCTTTCTGTACTTGTCTTCTCAGGGACAAACTACTCATTACATCCAGAAGAAAGCCAGTCAAATATCACTAATTGCGCTGTGGCCTTAATTATAGCTTTGGCCTCCTTAATAAGATAGGCATGAAATTTTTTCTTTCTCCCAGCACTTAACCGACACCATGGTATTGATGGCTCATGATGAGTGTAGAGAGAGATGCTAATCGCAACGTCTTCTTTCTCTACTTCCTTTTCCTCTGACAGAGAGAACAGCACCAGCCTTTCCAAAAGGGGAACACCTATTTCTTTATAGGAATTTGGTGCCAAGGTAAAGAGAAGCCACTGAAGAGAAATACTTAAAAGGGAATCCAAGTAGCGATAAAAGAGAACTGATTGCCACAAACTGCCTTTTCGTGGGGAGAACTTAGGATAGAAACACTTAAGAGAAAGGAGCTAATGTGAGGTCTCAAGTTCTGGGTAAGATTTTCCTCCCAAAGAGAAGATACCACTGGTTTCACTGTCTGTGCATAGGTAGGATAAGTTGGCTTTCTCCTTCAACTCCTAAAAAGGGATTAAAAAATTGAGAATGACATCAAACCTAGTGAGGCTGGGAGGTTTGTGCGGCTTAGCCTGTGAAGGGCAACCGAGACAAATTTTCTTCTCTTCCTGTCTTCAGAAGACAGGAGAGACTAGGTAGAAGGAAGTGAGAAAGCGTTAGGTTTTCTTGAGATATGGCGCTAAGGAAGGGGGGCCAAGCCTGTGTTTGGTTGTCGGAAGCCTCCCGCACCTCACTTGAGGTGGTAGATAGCGGATCTTCTGCTGGGGTTCGGTGCTCCTGTTGGTTTTCCTGGCCCATAGGTCAGGTTCTGCTGGGCGCTGGCAGCTCCTTTGGTTGGCCGTTTGCCCACTGTGTTAGGCCTGGTCGGTGATGTTACTGACCTTAGCCCAGGCTGGGAAAGTGTCCAAGTGGAAGAGGCTAACTCCCCATGTATTGATGGCCACCATCACTATCACCAGGCCAATAATATTGACCCCCAGGCCAGCTTTCACCTGCAGGACACAAACCAGCACAGCCTAGTCACTCAGGAGGCAGTAGCGCAGATCCCAGAGCACTCCCCACCAAGTCCCCGCTCCCCCAAGCCTTGCGGTGATGTGATCACAGCCCACCTGCTTGGCCCTGATTTGTTCCGGTCTCTGCCTGGAGTGTTCTCATGCTGCCTAGGGTGGCACAGGACTGTGGAAGGGCAGGGAGGACTTGGGGTTGCAGCGGGCCCTTAAAATCCTCTCTACTCAAAGCACCCCCACTTACTGCAGAGGCCTAGTAGGTATGGCCTCAGGGCACCAGAGATGTGAATAAGTCACACTGAAGAAGGATCCTGCATAGGGAAGCGCAGTTGAGCAAAATGACCTGGGTCTCTAAGGCAGGGCCTTCTCAGTGCCTTTAGTGTGCTGACACATAAGGGACTCGCGGGAGGGGCTGTAGTCTGAAGCCTTTGCCACCATACCCCCTCCCCCTTTTTTTTCCCTTCAAGAAACAGCTCATGGAAGTCGTGTGTCTTGGGTTTGTCTGGGGAAATAGGTCAGCTGCCTCTGCTCAGCCCTTGCCTGGGAAGGTGACACAGGCATGCTAGCTTTGCTGCTTTATTCTGAGGGAATGTCACCTCATTGAGTCTGACCCCTTCCATTTCTGGCTCGGCATGGACACTCTCAGGTGGCAGGGGAGGGACGTGAGGGATGATGGCAGAGCCAGGTGGGAAAATGTACCGCGAGGATAGCTGGCACCGTGCTAGGGTGCACCCAAGCATAGTGTGTGGAGCCGGGACGAGTTCACTGCTGGCATTAAGCTGGGAACGTTGCAAGGGAAAAATGAATGCTAGGAAATTGTTCCAAGCAGATGACTAGGCGTGTCCCCTCTCTGCTTTGTGGCCTACGCCCAGGACCTGTTAACCACCTGGCCCCGGGCCTTTTGGCATGGAGAAGCACCCGTGTCCCCTAGCAGGCGAGAGGTGGCAGCTTCTAAAAGAGCTGAAAGGGACCATGTAGAGCACTTAGTCGGATCCTCCTCATTTAGCAGGTAAGGAAATTGAGATCTCAAGTCAGGCCCAAGCTGGGGGTAGAACCCAGGACTGGCTCACTTCTTGTCATCTGGTGCCTTTGCAAATTACCACCTCGATCGTTTGCTTCCAGGGTAGGAGGCTGGGGGTGAATGGTGGGGGCACAGAGAGGATGCGGGGGGACAGGAGAATTGGAGCAGGGCTCAATATGACCGAGAGTTGTTCAGTAAGTAGAGGGGAGGGGTGGCCCTGAAGAATTACAGATGACCTAGGAGGACAGTTTGAACAGTAGAAAGGCTCTGACTCTACCAGCTTGTAGCTCTTTCCTCCATGTGATACTTAGTGGGCTGCTGAGAACGAGTTTGGACTCTAGTGAAACAGTTTTTGAGACCCTCAGCGAGGGCGAACGGGCCGATTCAGACAGTCAGGTCCCAGTAATTTGTATCTTTTTTTCACCCTTCCCCAGCCCCCATCAGCCCTGGATATTAAGAAGCATAGCAGTGAGTATAGGTTGAGGAGTGGAAGGTGGATATGCCCAACACGAAAATCAGCAGCACAACGTCTCTTCGAAGCCATCTTTTGTGAGCCCAGGTGAAAACTAAGAAATGAGCTGTGGACGCTGCATTTTGCCATTGTTGCTTTTAGGAATTTCTCGCTTGGGGGAAGAGTTCAACAGAAGGATCCTGTTCTCACAAAATACCTTTTCCTTTAGGTCTGTTTGCACGGTTTCTCCTACTTCACCTTTTAGGAATCAGCCAGCAGCTTTTTGAATGAATGTCCCCACTGGTCCAGTGAGGAAACTGAAGCAAAGACTGCAAGCTCATGCCTTCTGGAACTGGGCCACGTCCTGCCTCTGTCGCAGCTTTCTCTGTCCGTGTCCCCACTTTCTCCCAGATAAGGGTGGGGAGAGCACATTATTATACTGTTCTTGATGTTTATGGACCACCCCAAACCTTTTAACTAGTACCATTCTTTCTGCCACACTAGATTGAGTGCTGACAAGTCCAGGGACAACCGCTACAAAATAATAAACTTTAGGAGAAGGCTGTGGAGCCAGTCGCCCTGTCCTCCTGGCAGCTGGGCCTGGTGGAAAGAGGGCGCCTGTGACTCACCATGTCTTTGATCTGGCAGTGCCCGTAACTGAAGACGATGGCGTTGGGGGGATTGCCCACGGGCAGCATCACTGCAAAGGAGATGCACATGGTGACTGGGATCAGGGTGTAGAGTGGGTTAATGTGCAGCGTTTCGGACTAGAAGAGAGAATCCACAGAAACAGTGTTGACGTTAGACTTGTTTCCTGTCTTTACTATCACAAACGTGCTTTAAACGATGGCTGGGTGTTGGCTAACCTTGGCTGGACGCCTCATGCTAGGGACAGATAAAGCACTGCCCTCAAGGGCGTCAGTGCTGGCCAGGCCAGATGCACCCCCGTGCTACCCACTCCCATGGAAACGTGGGCTCGGAGTTACGCCTCAGAGGCTTGTTTTATCTTCATTTCTAAGGAAGTGCTCTTTAAATTTTATTCCTTCGCTGAGAAATTTTTTCTTCAAACACAGATCTCATGAATGAGCTGCTTTGATTGCAGTAGAGATCTGTCATTCTTGGGGTACAGAACTAATGGGCTTTTCTTTTTCTAGGTAAAGTACCTGTTATATGGATTCCATGGGTTCGAACCCAGGGGCTGGCCCTCGATGTTGCCCAGTTTTAACTGAGTGTGCTCCATGCTCACACTAACGAGATGATGGGAAGAAGGGCTCAGAGGGAGGCATCCGAACAGCGAGTGGAGAGAGTGGCTGGGGAGTTTGGGGCTAGAAAGAGCAGGAGCATGTCGTTTTGGTGGAGACAGGGAAGAGCCTTCGTTTCGTAGGTTCCACCTCACAGAATGGTCGGACGCAGCGTGGTGTCCGGGGCCTTACCTCTGGGGCTGCTTAGCCAGGCTCAGATCTGGCAGCCGCTTCCCTCCCCTATTCCATCACTAACACTGTTCTGAGGTCGCGGAATGAGGCTGGCCTTGCTCCCCATTCTCAGAACCTTCTGGACGTCGAAATTGGGTGGAGGTGATAGTAGTTAGAGCTGAGGTCTTGGCCACTGAGGCTGAATCTGCTTCTTCCTGGGAGCATTTTGCCTTCATTTTCTATCATTATTTCTCTGGCCTTTATCTCAGGAGTGCAAGGCCGATGATGATTGTGGGGAACCGGACTCCTAGGGTTTTAAGGTTATTTTCTTCATTCTTGTTTCCTTGCAGGGCTGCCTCTAAACGCCTTTTTAGGGAAAGGTTTTCTAGAACCCTTGCTGTGGCTTCTTTATCTGTTTATTTACCAGTCGCTATTTGAAAAACTTAATTTTTTCAAACTATGGATTGAACACCAGTTTGCCGTGAAAATGACGAGGGGAGAGTAGAGCCGCAGCCGCTGCTCCCCACCACAGCAGACCCCTGGGGCAGCCCGTCTGGACGTCGGGAGCCTGCTCTACTCACCAGGCTGCACAGGATGGGCAGGAAGATGGTGATGGTGGCCGGGTTGCTCACAAACTCTGTGACAATGGACACCAGGATGCATGCCAGCAGGGTGACAGCCCACGGCGGCAGGCTGCTCAGGGACAACATCTGGTGCCCAATCCAGGTGGAGAGGCCAGAGCTCTGCAGACCAGGGGGAAACAGTGAGAAGAAAGGAGGAGAAGCACGTTCCCAGTGGAACTCTGAGAGCCAGCAGGTCAGGGGCGCCTGGGAGGAACCCCAGGAGCCGTCTAAATGTCTCCCTATTTCCTGGTGGACGCAGCCCAGCGGCATGCTTGATTTTTGTGATGAGATCATTTTTCTAGCCCAGAAAATTGTTTTTTATGATTGTACAACATTCAGTCTCAGGGTTTCCTGGTCAGTCGCTGTCACGGGGAATGGCGACCTACCTACCCTAATGGCCACGGGCCTTCCTAGCACTGCTGTGACAGCTCAGCAGGGGTTAAAGATCTTTGGGGTGGTCAGCTCCTCAACTTCATTCTCTACTCCTACAGCCTCTGACACACTCTTTATGCATCCGATCAACAGTGCCCTATACACAGGCTGCCAAGTGTAATCCTTAACTCTGCTTTTAAAATCCATTTCTTTTATCGCCTGAGAGAGGGGAAAAAACGTTCAACATCTTAGGATAGTAACCTTTCCTGTTTTTCAGTGAGCAGGACTGAACATGAGAAATTTTGCATGAGGAATGAAGGAGAGGGGATTATACATCTGTTTCTAGCCAGTGGGGAAGGTGCCTCCTCTCTGCCCTAGAAGACAGTCATTCACCGCATTTCAGGTTCGCATCCCATCAGGGCCGACATCAGGGCTGCGACCTGCCAGTGCTTTTTGATGACACGACATATGAAGGCGTATTGCCACTCTTAAACATTTTCCATTAGCGACATTTATACGCATCTACGCCAATGAATGAATATTCCCACTTAAAATAATTCATTGGGTTGGAAGCTGTTCATCTGCCAATAGCGAGGGTTCTCCCCCTCCCCTAAAAAATCAAAGTCACCATTTAGTTTTTGTACTACAAATTCCCAGGTTGCCATATGCAACCTCCTTCCTTCCCTCGCTCCTTCCTTCATCTCTCTTCCATAGTCGACATGCTCTGATTTTCTTCTCTACCGTAGAGACTGCAAATGCAATAAAGGGATGAGGAGCAGGACATGAAGCGAGGTGAGACAGTTTATGATTCCTCAGGCTGTCAGTCCTGTTCACGCTTTATTATGAAAGACAGCCTCGCCACTTCGTCAGCAGCTACTTTTTCTCCAAATTCCTCAAAAGCTCATCTGATCACAGCACCTTGGCCACCTCGTGACAACCTCATAGGCAACTGATGGCCAAGGGCCTTCAGAATTCTCTCTGCCGTAGCCACTTTTACCTTCAAGCACTTTTTTTTTTCCCAACTAACTGAGAGTTGCAAATCCAATATGTGGAGACTACATCCCTTAATGGTTGGTACAGAGCCTTGAGGCCTACAGGAGCTCTGTAATTGTTATCTCTTGTAACACATTAAACCGTGGTCCCCGGACAAAGACGGGGGAGGGAAAGCTGTTAGCTGAGTGGAAATATTACATTTTTGAAAGAAATGGAGTTCTATTATCATGTTACCCAAATAGCACTTGTAAGTAAAGTGAAATAATTTAATGGCAATAATTTTCCAGAAGAACTATTTTATACTATAATTTGAGGTAAATTGATAAATTAGACTGCAAAGTTAGAAAAAGAACACAAAAAAGGAAGTCTTACTTTTTTAAACACTTGGTGTAGAAACATTTTACGCTGGATTTTCCTCACTGCTGTCAAGACTGAAATTATTTCATACCCAGTGGGAATCACATATATCGTACCTGAATTATATTATTAGAATTAGTACAGCAAGGGTCCTGCAGAAATATCAACTGTACTATCTGCCATACATGCACCATTTTGGTTTAAAAGAAAAAAATCTTGCCAGGCTAGGCTTAGAGGCCAAAACTAACAACTGAAATTCAATAAAGGTAAATATAATATCTTGAACTTGGAATTAGAAAGATTGACAGCACATATTCAGGACTGGTTGAAGGTCTTGAGGCTTAATAGTGACTAACAATTAAAAGAATGAAGGGTTTTAGTTGCCTGCAGTTGCATCATAAATGTTGACATGAGTACCAGTGAAGCCTTGAAAAGCTTCCATAAAAATCCAAGATGGAGCTTGGATCAGAGAGGAGAGATGGGGCTTGGGTAATTTAACTGATCTACTCTGACCACCTCTGGACCATGTGTGAATAAGGCCAAGGGCAAGTAGTGAGTCCTGAGGGGAGAACCAGCGTGGTAAGGGGACACTGCTTCTGTGAGGAATGGCTAAAGGGACTAAGGAGTTTCGGTCAGGAAAAAAATCTAAGGGGATTAATAACTTTTTAAATTTTAATAATTATTACCTAGGAGAGTTTTCCAGAGAATAGGGGCAGAACTGTCAGTGGAAGACACAGAAGACCTGAGCTAAGAGTAGGGAACAACTATTCTTTGTTCCTCGCTCAAGGAGTGTCCTGTCACTGGAGGCGTTCGAGCCAGGGTTGTCACATTGGGTAGAAGATGAGACTTGATGTCCTCCAAGGTTCCTTCCAAGTGTAGAACTGTGACATCATTAACAATGCAGATACGTCAACCCACAGTGAATGGGTAGTCAGCAGTGAGCCAAGGTTGGAATGGGTTAATGCATACAGAGTGGACGGAGAAACAGTGTGAGCCTTAACCTGATTCGTTCTTAAGATCCTTTTCTACTGCAGAAAGGGTTAGCCTTTCGGGAAGTTGAACTATTTCCCACTAGCTCCCTTTAAAAGATCTCATGCCAGATTCTCCCAATCAAGAAATCAGGGCGCACTTCCATCAGCTATAATGCAGATTCTCCAAAGGGGCTCAGGACGTGCACATGGACTGACTGAGGGACAATTTGTTGTGTGTCACTTGGGGCATCTCTGGGCCCTGACAGGCACATCTATCACAGGCAAATCCATAGATGGAGATGGCTACAAAATCCAAATAACCTAGTTTTTGGCAGCGTGGGCCCGTCAGTGAGGTGTGAATGCCGTATGCCATGACTATTGCACAGTTGATCTGTAACTCGGTCTCAGTAGCACCAGCTTGGGTGCTCGGGGAGGACAGGATGTCTGTTCCTGGCTGACTGCTCCCCTTCCCAGTGACTTCGGTGGACACTCCCCTCTCCTTCAGCTCCTTCGAATCTTCCTGCTCAGAACCGTAATGATTCCACTAGGTAAAGTAGCTGGAAAACTATTTGGCCCAATGAGAACAGAATTCAAGGGTTACCTTGCTGCCCGAAGCCAGAGCATAGCCTCCTCCCACCAGAATGACAATCTCCCAGGGCATGGTCTTCTGGAAGTCCTTCCACGTGATGATGGGCTCCGTCCCCGGCGAGGGCTTCCGGTCCTCCCCTGGGTCACAGGTAGACAGGGAGGTAGAGCCAGATGAACCATAATGGGAGTGATCTGTAGAGTAGGGGCTGAGCTGCTATTTGGGGCAGAATCAGAGGGCCTTGGTCAGGTGCCTTCTGAAAATTCTGACTCGGGTATCACGTGACTAGAGCCAGCCCCAGCATCTCCCCTTGAACCCCTCTCACCATCCTTCTTTTTCCTAAAGCAAGGCTTCTTCGCTGGAATCAGGAAGAGGAGGAAGCCGAGGAAGACGGAGACGGTGGCATCGGTGCGGTAGCCTTTCCTAGCAAGAGAGAAGCAGGCTGGAGGAGGGGGGCAGGAGGCCCCAGGGTAGCGCTGCGTCTCGGCATGGTCTGAACCCGAGGCCTGCCTGTAGGACCTAGTCGAGATGGGGCATCAGTCTGCGCCTTGCCCGTTTTGCCATGCCATCCAGTGGTGGATTTAATGGGCAATGGTTATAGTCCAAAGGCGGGGCCTGGCTAGGGAAAATGACTTGGTGTGAATTTATGGGCCCATCGACTGGGATGAGTCCCAGGAGGAGTGATGAGGAGTTGGCTTAGGTGAAGGAGACTGGAAAAGGGTGGGTCCTCTTTCCTGCGAGGTTCACACCTCCACGTGTGTCTTTTCTCAGACTAGAAGCTGTGCTGGCAGAGCCAGAGGCCTGTGGCCCTGGCCCTCAGGGGAAGATGTGGGGGAGGGGTGTGGCCGGAGCCATGTTTGCCTCTTCCCCCACAGGCCTCAGCCACTGCATGGCCATGGTCTCTCTACAGTTGATATTTTACTTTAGGGACATTTTCTCCTTTAACTCTCACAACAACGAGACAGCTGAGGTCACAAGATCTTAAGTGACAAGACCAAGGTCACACAGCTGCATAAGTGGTAGCGCTGGATCCCAACCCCTGACCTGGACTCCGAAGACTGTATTTTCTTCTTGACTGTATCCTGCAGCTTCCTGAAAAAGAGGAGGCTTCCACAGGAACAAAGTGATGTCCTGGCTTCATGTCTGTCCCTGACAGTCTAGGAGGGGACACCATTGAAAACTGCCGGAGACGTTTCCAGGACGAGGTGGTTTGTTCTTGAGGAGGAGACGATATCACTTACTTTTCAAAGAACGAGTCCCAGCCGGGAACGAAGCCAGGCTCCCGCGTGAACCACAGCACCGTCATCAGGATGAAGAAAAATCCGGTCACCATTTCAGGGTAGCTATAAAATAAAACAGACCTGCTCCAGGAACTGCAAACGTTGTTAGCTTTTTCACTTGCTTTGGGATGCTCCTCTATTCAGAGCTTCAGTACCGGAGGCATAAAACGCAGTTACTGCTTAAACACTCTGAACGGCCAGCAGTAAAGTGAAAAAACGAGACGGTGTCAGAAAATGTTAAAACCATGTTTGCTGGAGACACTTCGGTGGGAAGGAAAGGTAACATCACACATTTATGAAATAATTTAAAATACAGCCTGCAAAGAGAGTGCAGTAAAATGGGCCCCTCTAACACTGCCGGTGGAGGTAGAAATTGCGACAGCTTTTTTAAAGCAATTTGACAGTAGATCTCAGGATCCTTAACTTCGATCATTCCTTTTATCTAAGAAAATAACCAGAAACACACATAGAACCATTACGTATTAAAAAACTAAACAGTAAAAAGATGAAACAACCTACATATCCAATAATATTCCACGACATCGAATACAGTTCAGCATGCGTAAAAATGAGATGCAGCTAATAATTATGTTGCTATAGCAGAGTTAATTACCTGGGATCCTAATGACAGTCTAATGCTAACTGAAAAAAGGCAAGATATGAAACTCTTCAGTATGGATTGAATTCTACCAGAAATACATATACATATTATATAATACATATAATTTTGCAACGAAAAAAGCATGGAACAGTACATCATGTTAACAGCTAACACCAGGATGCTAGGAACACAAGTCGATTTTTCTTTTATATTTTCCTGTATTTTCTAAGCGTTCCACAATGAACATGTATTCCTTTTGTAAATTAAAGTTTAAAAAAATACAGCTTTAACCTGAATCCTTTTACCCAAAGGTGTATCTGCCAATTGCCAGAAAAGGAAGAACAGCTCAAAACAAGACACTGGGTCACTATGGGAAAGCTGACAGAAATAGCCGAGAGTTAGCGAGTGAATTCTCGGACCCTCTGTCTTCAAATCTATTTGATGCTGCCTGATGCTCTCAATACAGTACAAGGTCCCCAGCTCCCTAGGAGTGGCCACTGGACCTGTGGTGGCTCACTCTGAGCGATGTGGGGAGTCCTGACTTTAGAGAGTTCAGCCAACAGGGCGGCTGCACTGTCTTGCATTGTTCCCTGTCTGGCTGCCCCATCTATGACTCTCCACGCCCCCCATGCCACCGCAATGCCTTGGACTCAGAATACAGGGAAGTGAAAGGGCGGCCACCTAGAATCTGAGGCAGACTTTGGCACTAAATAGCATCTCTAAATGCCTGGGGTCGTGGTTGTGGGAAATTCCTCCAGCTCAAGGGACCATGGAGAACAAGGCTGCTTCTGCGCTCGCTTTCTCTGCCACGCTCTCTCTCCCGAAGGGAGAAGGCGAGTGGCTGATTCTTACCTGATGGCTCCCAGCTTTTCATATTCCTCTCGGATCCTCTTCTCTGACAACTCTTCCCTTTTGGTCTTATTCTTTTTGCTCAGAGAGCAGGTCTCTTTAAAACTGAGAAGGGAGAATGAGCGAAACGATAGAAGAAACACACTTCTGAGGCCCAGAGGAGATCGAGTATTAAGCAAATACTAAACTATTGGCTTGTCTGATCATTTCTCTCCGCTCACACGCTCTGCCCCTCCAACCCCACCTATCGCACGACTATTATTTGCCAGGTACACTGCCTCTCATCAGCCTTCTCCCCTGGCCTTTTGGGTTATCCATCTAGTCTATCAAGGTGAAGTTATGATCTTATGGATTTATGCAGGTGTCTTTATGTGGGGTTGTTTCTACATACTTGTGTTTTACATAATAGAGAATGTGACGTGGCCTATGTGTGTAGATGTTTATATATTTGTGTGTTGCACACACATGTATGTTGATCTGTCTAGAGACAAGGCTTTTCTCGGGTGAAGTGCATCTTGGTTTTCTATTTGTGACACTGGAGGTATAGAAATATTCAGCAATCATTGATTTGATGACAGTCTCCGAGTAAGAAATAAGTCAGTTCAGGGGACACTCCTTGACCATTGGGAGCATCGGGTTCCATAGACAAGTAGCAAAGACTCATTATGCATCTTCCCCTTAGGTGCCTGAAGCTGATTACATCTGGATATTACTGGTTGTAAAGAAAAGGTTTGTTTCGCTAAGCAGATTAATATTAGAAATAATATTGCAAGGGGAATGCCAACTTGTTATTTTGAGGAAAGTGAGCACATTCCATACAAATGCTCATTTTATAAAATTAAGCTTAAGGCAACTTCTACTTGGAATCATATTTCCTTAGAAGTTATTTGAAGTTACTCTCTATGCTCTGAGAGCAAAGAAACTACATGGAACACTCTGAAGAGTGTTCTTTTAGACTTTTTATAAATCAGACATTTCTTCTAACCCGTTGGTTGGAATTAAGGACAGTTCACTGTCGAGCTCGGAGTGAAGCGCAGAGCTCCTGGACGTTTAGAGCATCCAGGACAGACGGTGCCTGACTCGCCACCCAGTCCCCTGTGTTCCCCTAGGGGTGCCCTCCAGGGCTTGTGCAGTGACCTTGGATGAGGAGAGCCTCTGCCTCGCTGGCAGGGCCCTGGGACTCACTTGCAGCCCAGGAACAACCAGTGCATCCAAAACCAGCTGACCACCAGCATGATGAGGGAGATAGGGAAGCTGAAGAGGAACCAGGTGCCAAAGTTGACCACTTCTGCAGCTGGATACTGGCTGTAGGGGAAAGAACCAGGGCAGTGAATAGAAAAGGTAGATTTCCATGTGGCAGAAGCTAAATGCTCCTTAAGAAGACACGTAGCAGAGCTAAGGTACAGATGATAACAATATGGTAAAACATTATCTAGAACACACTTATTTGACGGTTGCAACTGTACAGTGTCCAGCCACAATTATGAAGTAAGCTAAAAAAGGTACCTAGACAACCAAAATTAATGTCACTGAAGTGTATATATTTTGCACTTGGGAGAATCACTCAGAAGTGGTTTGCTCTTAATTTATGTAAAGATTCTGATAAGTTTATTCATCCGGTTTTCAAGACAAGAGGATGGAGAGGGCAGTCTGGTGTACTTTGTTTATAAAGTCACAGAAGGAATGTGGGTTTTGATGGGGGGGCGGTGGCGAGGCATCAGTTCTAAAGAACTTCGGAATCTGGGGCCTCATGAGGGTTTTCGGTGTTAACTGTGCCCAAAAGAGAACCAAGACGTGGAAACTCCAGATCTTGTATCGACATCCTCTGCTGTCTTAGGGGGCTAGGGAGGTTGCCCAGAGGACTCCTCATTCATCATCGGGCAGAGCTGTGGCCCTCAGCCCAGGTCATATTTCCTGGGGAGCAAGGATGGACCATGTGTGAGCCATGACTATAGCCAAGACAGTGTCTGCGTTTCTTTACCCTTGGGCCCTTCTTGAGGGCTGAGCATAGAGCACCCTCAAAGGTGGGAAGAGACTGAGCCCCTCTTTTCGTGGTAGGAACTGCATGGAAAAAGAGCGAGGGGCCAAGAAGAGCAGGCTCCCCCACAGAGAATGCAATGGAAGCACAGGATATAAGAGTGTTTAATCTCTGTCATCACAGGGACGTCCACTCTTTTGCATTATGGCCTGGTCATGGACTCACTAACATTTGTGTGCCTCTTGGAGAAGTTACGATAGCTTGTGCCCTCCATAAAAGGCCAGGGTGGGTCACCGATAGTGGATATTGGGAAGAAGGGCTTTTGGAGCTAGAAGGATATCCAAGGACAGAAATCATTCAGTGACTCATTGTGGACTGCCCTGGGCTACCAAGCATAAAGTCTGTTGCATCATCTCTATGTAGAAACCCAGGCCTTGCTCCAGGACCCAGGAAAAGGAATGGACTTTCATAATAGATTAAATAGACTTTCGTGACTAAATGCAAGGGCCTAATACCATTTATAGCATCTCTAAAAGTGAGAATATATGTGTGTGTGTGTGTGTGTGTGTGTGTATACTTATACACATATATATGTATGTATATCTATAGTAACAGAATATATATATGTAGTATAACAGCTAATTTATAGATTTTTGAATATCAAAAATGAACTCTCGGGGTGGTCTGTTCACCAATGCCAAGAAAAACAACATGGTGGCACTTTGAGACCAGTGGGGACTCATGGAGCCCACCTTCCTTTCATAGAATCCCTGTTGTCCAGGTAAGCTACAATTATGGCTAAATGTACCACTGACCACCCAAGAAGTAGACCGAGAGAATATGAATTGGCCCAACCACAAAATGAAGCAGAAGTTAAAGAGCTGAAACTCCGAGCCCGCACAGAGTTATGGGGGGTGAAGAGTTTATGAAGCTCAGATGTTGGGGAATTAGGTCTTAAACTTTCATTGATCTTTCCTCCTCCTTCCCCTCTTCCTCCTTTTTTCCTTCTTTCTTATCTTTCCTGCTAAAATGAAAGCTGTGTTTCTCCTCTTGTCCATGATCGATTTCTTCCCTTTGCACTGGATCCCATCCCTGCTTGTTTTCTCAGTGACGTCGTCGCTCTACCAGATCGTCCCCTCTCTCCTAAATCGTTCTCCTCGATCTTCCCCACAGGTAAATGTCTTCCATCTCAAAACCACCTACTTCACTCTCCCTTTATTATCATCCCATGTCTCTCTTCCCTTCACAGCCAGTTCTCCATTTCCTCCATCTTACTCTTCAATCCACTGAAATTTGGCTTCTTTTCCAATCGCTCGACCAAACTGTTCTTGCCTAGGTCACCATAACCTCTATGTCATCTAATCGAATGGATACAGTTTAGTCCTTATTTTGCTTGATCATTCAATCAACTTTAAACGATATGGACCATTCTTTCCTTCTTGAAACACTTTCTTCCCTTGGGTAGAAGGATGCCAGATTTTCCTCTTTCCTGTCTGATATCATTTTATTCTTTTCTCGTCTACTTTAACTGCTCGAGCTTAATATTTATGCCCCCTGCTCTACTTTATGCGTTCTCCTTGAGTCATCTCCTTCGCTCTATGGCTTCAGTTTCCATATCCATACCACCAGGACGGACTACCGGCTCGTTTGTGGAGCCCAGTACAAAATGCAAATGTGGGGTCCCTTGTTCCAAAATTATTAAGAATTTCAAGTTGGCGAAGGCAAGCGTGGAGCCCTTCTGAGCAAGGTGTTACAAGTGACCGTGTGACCGCACTGGTTATGGGTCCATGAAGGCGGCTCTGCAGGCCACTGCAGATCTGTGCCAAAGTCTCTAAATCTATGCCTTCAGCCTGAAAATTTCTCTTGTGCTTTGGATCTGTCTCCTAACTGGATACATCAATCTCTAATCTTTCCCCTCATTTAGGTCAAGGGCAACTCCGTTCCCCAGTTGCTGAAGCCACAAGCCTGACAATCAGACTCTTTCAGGTTTTCTCATCCTACCGCGGCCCGTCAAGTCTACCTCTGAACGTCTCTCGAATCCGACCATTTCTCCTCCCCACTGCCACTGTGATCCAGGTCACCATCGGCTTTCTCGGGGGCATCTGCAGCAGCATCCGAAATTGTCTTCCTGCTGCCTGTTTTCTCCTTTCCAATCTATGCTCCGCTTTCAAAATCCAAAATGAGTTTTCAAAATAATAAATCTGATCACCTCACTCTCTGCCTCACATTCTTTAAAGATTTTTCGCAGCCTCTCAGTTGCAGTGCAAGTTCTTTAGACGCCTGCGGTCTGCCTGTCCACCTCCCTGGCTTCCTTTCGCCCTCTCTCGTTTTCTTTTATGGGCTCTGCTCTCTTGCTCCGAGCCCCGCTGCACACCATTTTGTCTGGAACATCTCCCTTCATCGAGTCTACTTCAGCTCATGCTTCAGGTCTCTATTTCACCATTGCGTTTAGACAGGGCGACCTCCCCCAGTGGGGTTTTCCCAGGAGAATCCCGCCCTTCTCAAGTCACATTTAACTGTAATGGCTTGACTGTCTCTTTTCCCTCTTGGAACAGAAGCTGTTCTAGTCCCGTTTTCTGCTGTATCCTTAGCACTTAGTCCCGCTCCTGACACGTAGTGGGCAGTTAGGAAATATTTGTTGACCAAGCGGATTGCTTACTTGTTGAAGTGTTCCAAGAAAATGAGGCTGGTGGAGGTGCCAATGATGGTGGTCAGGCCCCCGATGGTCGCGGCATAGGATATGCTCAGGGACAGGCACTTGCAGATCATTTGGTCGTGCTGGGACTTGTACTTTCTGTGGAGTTCCTGGTTCCTGGGGCCGGAGGTCAGGACTAGTGGCTTTTCCTGCCAAAGGAAAATCAGTGAATCTATCCGACCCAGCTTGGGTTGTCTGGGACACAAGGCGTGGAAAATGGGCACTGTGGTGCAGTGGGCAGGCTTTGAACTTGGGTGTCAGGGAGACATATCCCCATGCCAATTCTATTATTTCCCAACTCAGGGAGACCCTCCAAATTGCACTTTCTTCTCCTGTGAAAAGGGGAAAATCCTATTTTCTCTGCCAGATGGTTGTGAAGGGTAGATGAAGTAATATGTATGAATGTATGTGTGTATGTATGTATGTGTGTATGTATGTATGTATGTATGTGTGTATGTATGTGTGTATGTGTGTATGTATGTATGTTTGTTACTTCACTTAGAACACTCCTTGGTAGTTCATGAATAGTAAGCTATTATTATTTTTGTCGTTAATATTAACAGCATGTTCTGTCTTTTACTTGAACTCCAGTAGAACTGGTTGCTCTCCATTTCGTGTCAGAATAATAAATCGAAAATGGTTGTTCTATGTGGAGTTAGAGTGACTGTCTTGATTGGGAGATAACTAAAAAAATAAGCCTTGGATTACAGAAGGACTCCAGCTTTCTTTAGGCAGAGGGTCCAAGAGTGTCTCTCTCCTTCCTTACGTCCTCACCTGCTTCTCCTTTCTGCCTACTGGTTTTTCCTTCCTCTTTCCCCCTCCTGCTTGCATAAAAGCCTCAGCCTTCCTGTGGTCCTCTCAGGCCCTGCTTGGTCAGAAGTTGCCGACCCCTGGTCGCAAGTATAGAGTGAAGAAGCAAGTGTCCTTGTGCCCCACAGGCCCGGCCGCCCCTCATCGAGTCTTCATGAGACTAGGAGTGGCTGCTACAGATGTTGGCGAGCCAGGTCACAGGACAACCACGGGGAAGAGGCCACTTTACGATATTTCTCGAAGCCCTTAGCCATCTTCCTAGGAGGGCCCGGGTAGGTCTGGATCCTTCCAAACCTCCCTGAGGGATTCATTGATTATCAGAGCCTGAAGAGACCTCAGAGATTCTCTCGTCCAATGTTTCCACAATCCTGTCTTCTAATGAAATCTTACACAGCCCTCCAATATATAAGACGTAAATGTAGCATCTCATTGGCATATATCTATTTTATAACTGAAGTATACATGCGTGGTCAGGGAGACTTGGATTTGAATCAGGGTGCTCCCCGTGTTGGCGCGAGGCCTTGGGTGCATGGTTTCACCTCTCTGCCTCATTTGCAAAAGGGGGTTCAAAATTGCTGCCTCATTGAGACAAAATGCTTAGCATAGTTCTTGGTACCTAATAAGTGTTTAATAAGTGGTGACATTTATCATAATGGTGGATGTTAAGTAACTGAGATCATTTTGATGAACACAAAAATCTGAATCAAGTGATGGCTGCAATTTGATACCAGCTTCAACATCTGTTTTACTTCTGTATTTTGATTCAGTGGTTCAGTACCAGGAAAAGTCTATTCTCACAGCAAAGCAATTGCTTTAAAATCTCAGGATCTTCAAATAAAATATTTGCAGTGTTCCTGAAGCACCTTTGAGGAATAGTTTGGACACCTCTGATCTAGACCAACCCTCAGCTTTCATACTTGGAGGAACTGGGGCTCCTCCAAGACGGTAGAATGACTTGCCGAGTCAACAGCAAGTTTGTTTTATCTCCATGGCACAGGAGGGCCAGACACGGATGTGGATAGGAGGGCCTGGCGACGGCTCACTAGCCTGGAGCCCTCACGACTTTGAGGCCAGTGCCCCTTGGGAAGTTCAGGCATTTCATGTAGGAAACAGGGCCAGGAGGGGCAGTCTAGTTACCTGGGGTGGGTGCTGCTTCCTGCCCTGGTGGTTTGCAGTTTTGACGGGGTTGGTGACTGTATGCGCACCATTCAGGCTCTGTGGGGACAAAGACCATCACACTGTCAGGACGAGGACATGGGGTGGCCTGGGGAGCACTGCCTAGTCATGCCAGGGGCGCCCCCCCCACTCAGCACTGTGAGAACTGAAGACTAGAACCTGCGCTCCATCTCACAAGTTCCCATCCGGGCTGGGGTCAAACACCCCATTTGAAGAAGCTTTTAAAACTTGGCAGAGTATGGCTCTGTCTTCAGAGGAGAGCTTGGCTTTCTGGAACTTCATTAGCTAATGAAGAATCCTTCATTTTTCTTTAACATGAAATGGAAAAAATAAATAAATAAAGTTGCACCACAAGAAAGCCCATAATCTGGACTGATCAAAGTCCATCTATTTGGATAGATGTGAGATGTCAAAGCAGCTTTGGGGGAGGGGGCGGCCAAGTAGCCGTGTGCAGGTAAACTTGCCTTTCTTCTATAAATATGTCTCTTTTTGTAATCAGATTTTTGTAAATGGAATCCCCCACCTCCCCCCAAAGAAATCCTAAGGATGAATCTGGCCCTTTAAAATCTGGATTGCTGAGTACTGGATTTCCATGAAAAAAAGGTCAACTTTAGGTGGCTGAGCCCAGTACTCCGGGCTGCATTTGGAGCTGTGCCGGCCCTTGCCAGGAGCCCATCCAGGCTCGGGTGAGCGAGAGCACCTCTCTGCCCTCACGTCCGTGGAGGCCACGCAGCTCTAGGACAAGCTGTCAGGCATCTCTGTCCCTGAGTTATCTCGAGGGACTTTCAAGTATCTCAAAGCACAGAGGAAAACCCAAGGCCATACCTTGTTCTGCATCAGAGAAGTGAAGTCTGTCGTCGAGGTGCTGGAATGAAGTGAAGGAAGTGGGAATCAACAGTGACCAGATCGCACGAGATGGGAATTCTGCCCGCACACCCGTGACTGGTTTAAGTGACCCCTCTGGACCCCGGTTTCCCAGGCTACAGAGAAGGCTACTTCACTCTAGCCTTCCTCGTCTTCCAGAGATGCTGCCAGGATTGGTGGGGACGGAGCATTTCCTTTGAAGCAGAAGCGACACCCCTAATGACAGCTAACACGGAGCGCTTAGTAGGCGCTGAACACTCAAACGTGGACTTTAATCTCCACGATCTGGTTAATTCTAACAGATCCATGGTGCAGGTACCACCACCTGCATTTGCAGAGCAGGAGACTAGGCAGAGAGAGGGCACGAACGTCCTGCGGGCAGTGGGGTGCTACGCGGTGGTGCCAGGTAGGAACCCGTCTCTGTCTGCCCGGGGAGGCATGGCCCCTGCCGCGTGCTCACCGGCTGACTCTGGCGGTCTTTATCTAGGAAGAGAAACTTGCGACATGCTTATCTGAGGTGAAGGAGCAGGAAGGGCCCAGACTCCGCATGGTGAAAGGCAAGTGAGAACAAGAAGATGGGAAAGAATTTCTACTCAGCACCTGCTCCTCGCAGGTGGCGGTCACCTGTGCTGCTGAGTCTCTCTCACACCTGTCGGTCGCCAAGCTTTGCCCGGAGTAGAGAGGGAGGTGAGAATTTGACTTTCAGTGCTGCCTACAAACTGAATGCTAAATAGATGTTTCTGGTTCATCCTAGTTCTGAGGACAGTAGGTGCTATAAGCTCACCACTGTGGAGACAACGAGATGTGCCGGTGCCACATGCGGGACTGGGGGCCCTGTGGCCATCACTCATCCCTGTGGCCATCACTCATCCCAGGCACCAGGGAAGGAGAAGGGGCTGAGAGGTTCAGAGGGAAGCATTCTTTGGAGAGAGTCAGCCTGTGAGGAACAGTGTGGGATGCTTCCCGTCCGTCCTTCCCACACTGGGTGAGGATGGCAGGCAAGGAACCCCTCGGGCCGCATGGAAGGGGCTGGCGGAGAGAGAAGACTGCGTCCTCACGCTGCCAGCCGCCCCGGCACCCACCAGCAGGCTCCGCTGCGAGAGTTCGAGGGACAACTTGAGCTTTTTTCTGGAGTGTGGGGCACATATTTTTGTCTGGCAATGCACAAAGGCAGGAGGCCAGGGGGTGCTGCTGGAGAGGCCAGAGTGAGGAGACCCCGTGCCACGGGAGCGGCCCACGGAGGGTAGCTGGGCCACAGCCATCTTGAAAGGGCCTTGCTGTCCCGGAGCAGAGGCAGCTCCTGGAAAAAGGGGCTGTGGGGGGAGCCGCCAGAGCACAGAACCCAGGACGGGGCGTGAGTGTCGTCCAGAGCGCCTCACCGCTGTCGGTCCAGGCTGTGCAGAGGAGGCCTCAAGGGACACTCAGCTACAACGCCTCCAGCCCACACCCTTTGGCCCCTTTATCTTTCCTGCACCCTACAGCCTCTGCCGTCACCCCGGAGAAGTCGGAGCCGCAGAGTGAGTGGGGAAAGGAGAGGGAGGTGGAGGAAGAGAGAAGAGTTGGTTCTTCCCCACTCGCTTTTACCTCTTATTCTGCAGACCTGGGCTGAAGCGGGGGGCGGGTGTGAGCATGAGAGAAAGTGGGGGAAGCGTTGGATGAGCGATGGAAGTTTTCACAGGGGTCTGGACCAGACCGCTGACTATCTGAAAATGAGATCATTCTGAAATCTGGCAGGAACCAGAAGAGTTTCGGGATTTGCCCGAGTTATCGTCAAGGGTCAGGGAGGGAAACGCAACATGCCCTGGTGGAAGTCAGTGGTGGGAGGCAGACAAAGCTGTATCCTGATGACACCCTTCTGCGTGAATCCCAGTGCATGTGCTGGTTTCACTCGATGTGAGGCCTCCATTGTTTTAAGGAAAAGGGCAAATTGAAAAACTGAGCTCTAGTACAAATCCAGCTTTGAAAGTGTGATACTCATCACGAAATACCTTGAAAACTACATTTTGCTGTCGAACCTCCCAAAGCAATGGGCTGTTACTGGGTCACTGGCGTGAGTGTTCGAGGCTCCAATTCTCCTTTTCTAGATGCTGCTTTTCATCATCCACTGTCCTCTAATCCCCTGTCACCTAATTTTTCTTTGCCATATCTAACAAGACCAAATCTAATATCTATAAAACTTTGTGATTCTCTAAGAATCTCCAGTGCCATCTATCATGTGAGTATCTTTCCATTAATAGATTAAACGTATTTTTCTAAGAGGGACATCGATTCAGATGAAACTCTTCTTGGCAGATGTGTGGGCAAACCCTGTACCCCGTCAGAGTCAATGTCCTGTTCTTATGTCTTCCCTCATCACTGCAAACCCTGTGGTTAAGGGAGGTGCCCTCAAGGTCTTGGCAGGTGGCTCCAGGTATGGGGAGGCAGTGGGGTGGCAAGAGGTGCGTGTGGCCCAAAGGTCTAAAAGAGCTGTTTATGGGCCCAGGTCCCAGCTTTCCTGACCTCGGAAGGGACCGGGAGCGGCTCCGTGTGGGAGGAGGGCAGCCATACTCACTCTTCATTGACAAAGATGAGTTCCAGAGAAGGTTGGCTATTGTTCGCATCGAGACCTACAGTCGCAAAGGAGAGCAGGACGTGAGCTGTGGGGGCGGGGCCCCATCTTGTGGGGCGGGGCTCGGGAAGCGGGGCACAAAGGCTGCTGCTGGAGGCTGCTGGCTGAGGACTCTCCCCCGTCCCCCGACCCCAAAGGCACGGAGGGACTCATGGCTTGTCCTGACCCTTGAGCGTTTGGGGTAAGGAGCGGAGGTGGCTGCTGTAAGTGGGGGGAGAAGGAAGAGCTGGCAATGGGGGGAGGGGCGGGTCACAGGAAAGCTTCAGGCTACAAAGGCTTGTATTGGATAGAGGGGAGGGGAGGGGAAGCAGCGGAAGACGAGGGGAGGGACGTAGGTGAGAGGTCGTGGGGTGGACATCCAGCTGGGCAGTGTCCAGAGAGGAGGGCAGAGGGGCAAAGGGTAGATGAACTCCAGCAAACTGTACTGATGGGCTCGGCCTCTTCGATGCTGGAGTTGCTGGCCACCAGCTGCTCCTCCTCGGCACTGACCAGCTCCTGCAGCACGGCCTCCACGATGGGCATCACCATGGCGGTGGTGGACGTGTTCGAGAGCCACATGGAGAGCAGCGTGGTGCAGCACATGAAGCAGAGCAGCAGCCTGCAAGGCAGGGAGGGCAGGCGGGGCGTCCACAGCAGGGCCCCCCGGGGGCCTGCACTGCCAACCCCACAGGGCTCCTTGGGGGCCTCCCACAAGCCCAGTGGCGCTGGCCCAGAGAGCCAGGGGGGGCGATTATCCAGAAAATCATTTTTTTTTTTAATGTCATATAGTCAGCTTTGTACTCCCAGGGCTTGGCACAGAGTAAGCAGTAAGTAAATATTGGTCGAATGAATGAATCACACTTCATGGGCTGATGGCCTTAGCCAGGAGAAAGCCCTTACTTAAACGAAGACTAACTTTGGTAGTAGGGGCGGGGGGTGGGCTTACTGATTGCTCGTCTCTCTCTGCAGACATCAGCTTGGTGACGATAGGTGTTTTGTGTATAAAGGAATTCTATTTTTGTTCTTGCACCGAGCAATTCTACAAGTACCGTGACAATCCTTGCCTTGTAGCCAAGTCACCGTAGGTATTAGTGACCAAAGAGAGAATAATGTAGGGAGCTCACAGTTCCACCCACTCCTTGACCCACTGCCAACCGGCCCCTGAAGTCACAGAAGCGTCCACATCACTGTGTGCACTTTTTCAGCTGGTATCGTAAAGAGTCAATACTTAGAGGAAAATACTCATGAGGATAACTCTCCTGTTGTTTCTCTTTGACTCTGAAACGTGCAGTGTGTGTTTGCGCGGACACGGTTGTCATGTCCATAAGATAAGCCAATGTAAGGACCACCGTGTTTATTACTTTAGGTGGTATCACCGACTTTGCACAACTGGGGACCGTGCATCTAACCTGTGTCTCATGTCTGGGGAGGCCAAGGTCCTGATGGTGTCTTGGTTCGGGCTGACGGTGACCTGAGTTTGCCTGCCTCAGACAGGCAAGGACAGAGAGCACTGCAGTGGGTGGAAACTTGCTGGGGGATGAGGTGAATGGAGATGAGTGGAAACACAAGGGGATATAAATGCTTGACGATGACACCGAGGTTTTAAACAGCCTCAGAGTGCCAACATGATGGGAAGAAACGTCACTGTGCACCTTGGAGGTTGCGTGTGGGGCGCAGGGTTATTCCTAGTGAGGGGGTGAATTACGCTGAATCAAGCCGCAGTTAAGTGGGCGGCAGGAGCGTCCTTTTAAGCAGAACCTGTACTCATCTAAAGACTGATGTTGAAAATAAATCCCATATTATTTGTTTATATCCCATTTTACTCCCAAAGGAGTCAGGCAGCTTATGTAAAATCTAGCAAGAAAGTTGTAAACTAGAAGGAAGTGAGTGAGAACTCTTCTCCAAAGGGAAGGGGAGGGGAGGGTCATCCAACAGAGAGAGGGTGAGGTTAACCCCAAACTGTCAATCCCAACTTCCCTGCTCGGTCGCCAAGGCTGTGGATCTCTCGCTGGCCCTGGCAGTGGGGGGAGAAGAGGAAGCCACTGAGGGCAGGTGGTGGGTGCATTGTAGACTCTGGGTCAAATGCGACATGTCTACAGGTCTGTGGTCTGAACAAATGACAACAAAAACTCAAGGTGGATGGAGGAAGCTGTCACCGTCACATCTCCTTAAATGACAAAGGACAAGGCACCACGTCCTTGTCCAGCCCGCTTCCCGATACACTGGAAAAAGGTTGGGGAACAATTTCCGTTGGTCCATCTTGGTTCGCCTTATATTTTGTAACCTGCTGCCCTCACAGTCTAGGTTGCTTAGACTGTGACCAAAGTCACACACTCAAATCTCTATTCCACAGTCACAGGCCATTTCACTGGAGGGGGAGGTGGGAGCCCCATGGCCCTGGTGTGTCATCACCAAAGTCACACACTCAAATCTCTATTGCACAGTCACTAGGCCATTTCACTGGGGGGGAGATGGGAGCCCCATGGCTCTGGTGTGTCATCCCATCCCCACGGGTAGAAAAACAACCTGAAGTGGAACTGTCCCTGCGGCCCCCTGGGAGCTGGCTGGACGCCCCAGGGCTGGACACCCCAAGTGCGACTTACATGCCCGGCTTGGCTCCGGCCATGATGACCATGCGCAGAGCAATGCGCTTGTGCAGGTTCCACTTCTCCACAGCAGCCGCCACGCAGATGACGCCCACCAGCAGCAGCGTGGTGTTCTTGAAGTACTCTGCTGCCACCTGCAGGAGGCCAGCTCGGTCACCGCCCCACCCAGCCCAAGGCTCAGCCCCAGCAGGGAGCATGAGCCACTCCCCATAAAACCCGTTCCCAGCCAGAGGTTGGTGAACAAGAAGCGGGGAGACGAGGATTATTAAAATAGCCAACTGTTATATAGACTTAAAAATTTTTAAATATATATACATACATACTACCTTGGGCAGGGATTATACTTCTTCTTCTCCAAGAAGAATAAATTTATTTAGTTATGATAGAACTATGATTTCAAAGAGTAAACATACTTATCATTTTATCTTAATCCTTAAAAATTATTAAAATAAGCCTGGGTTTGGCCCCACATCTCATTTTCACCGCCCCACCCAGCCCAAGGCTCAGCCCCAGCAGGGAGCGTGAGCCACGCCCCATAAAACCCGTTCCCAGCCAGAGGCTGGCGAATAAGAAGCGGGGAGACGAGGATTATTAAAATAGCCCACTGTTATATAGACTTAAAAATTTTTAAACATATATACATACATACTACCTTGGGCAGACATTATACTTCTTCTTCTCCAAGAAGAATAAATTTATTTAGTTATGATAGAACTATGATTTCAAAGAGTAAACATACTTATCATTTTATCTTAATCCTTAAAAATTATTAAAATAAGCCTGGGTTTGGCTCCACATCTCATTTTTCTTTAGCTTTTAAGAAAATTATATTTATTTTTTTATTAGGAAGAAAGTCAATACATGCTCATTACAAAAAACTTCAAAATATAGAAATTTAAAGATAAAATTACTCTTAATCCTACTACTACTGTTAATACTTTGGTATCTTCAATTTTTTAATGTCTATGTAGATACATAATTGGATTTAGACCGTCTGTACAGTTTTATATCCTGCTTTTTAAAAACTTTACATCATACTCTGATCATTTTCTTGTAAGATTTAAATTTATTGGAAAAATTCATGTTAATAGTAACATAATGTACCATAAAGCTTATTTGGCCATTTTCTTTTTGTTGAGTATTTAAGGTTTGGGTTTTGTATTTTCCTACTGCAAATGGAGCAAAGAATAATTTTCTGCTTAAGTTGTTAACCTTACGTAAATGTGATTATTTCCTTAGGATAGAATTCTCGAAGGTGCCTTTATAACTAGCCTTCAACCTGAAAAGATATTTTTCCAATTTAAATAAATCCAAATAATTCAAAGTTCCAAAGAGTTCCAAAATTATAATAGTACAAGGAATACCCACTCACTACCTGTCTGTCCACATCTTTTTTTTCTGAACCGTTTGAGGGTGTAAGTTACACACATTTTGGCTCTTTATCCCTAATATACTTCAGTGTATATTTCCTAAGAATAGGAATTCTCTCTCGCACAAGCATGGTACCAATGATCAACTTCTTCCCTCTTTTTAATGATGAGGAAATTGAGAACGAGGCCTGTTAAAAAGATGTTCCATATGTTTGGGGTCCGCGGACCAACTCGTCATTGGTCCCGTCTCACTTGGAACATTCTCTTCTCTGCTTGTACATACCGATGAGACTTCAAAGCCCGGTTTGGGCCTGGTGCCCTCCAGAAAACCTTCCTGGAGATGCTAACCTCTGATTCCAGAACATTCCCTGCGGGTGCCATTAATTCCACACATCGCGGAGCTCTTAGGGCGATGCTTGAATTGTTGCTTCGTGCTTGTACTGTTTACTTTTTTTATGTGAACCTCTCTCGTCTCCCAACTAAATTTTAGCTGCAAAAGGCCAAGAACTGTGTTTCTTTCTATATCATGTTTCTCTGTCTCTTAACACCTAGTAGAATAACATGCAAAAGTAGATGCTCAATAAATATTTGTCACATACATGAAAATGGTTCCCAACAGTGGAACCATGACAGAAATCGAGAGGAAAAGATATCTAAAAAGTTTAGCTTCTCATTTTAAAACCCTCTTAAAGTGAGAAAACAAGAACATTTTTAACTGCAGGAAGAATAAAAACTGAGCAGAAAAGAAAGTGTATAGTGACATATATATATAGTGTTTAAGTAACTAATATTTACATAATCATACTGTTAAACTTTGATTATTGAAGTAACAAAAACTGTGATATGCCTATCTTGGGGGGATGGAGGGAGGGAAATCGGGGGTGTAGAGGACAAAATCTTCATCTGCTATAATAGGGAGTCAGTTAATAATGTCTAGATGTGGTAACTCAATAAAATCAGAATACGTGTAAGAATGTAGAGCTTAATGCTAGAAGAAGCTGTTAACAAATTTAAAAGTTATTGACCCTGGGCGGGGGGAGGTGGAACTTGGTGGGGTGCAGTGGGGAGAGGCGGAAGAGACGGCTGATTCTTCATCGTGAGCTTTTCGGTATCGTCTGATTTTTTTAAACTCTGCACATAACACTCTGATCACACAAAAGTCAAAATAAAAGCAGCCTGCTTCATTTCCCCCTTATCTTGTCCCAAAGTGATTTCGTTGTCTGGTGGATGAGATTTGTGTAGGAGAAGGAATATATATCTGTCTTCTTCCTGGAGGAAGACCCCTCTGCTTCTGGTTAATTTAGTTCTTGTTTTCAACTCCAGCCCTCACTAACATGTCACTATGCTCCTAGAGGGCAGAGAAGGCCCCCTGCTCTGCTGGGCGCGTAACTCTGGGCCTTGCGCATGCGTGGGGATGCTGCCCCCTGGTGGGATATGGAAGCACTGCAGGGATGCCTGAGGCCTCCAGCTGAGCTGGGAGGTTAAGATCTTCCTCGTTGCACCCTTACCTTCCCAGAATATCTAAGAGGCAGCTCTGTGGTAGAGCTGGTGCTTAAATTTCCTCTGCCTAGCAAGGAGGGAAGTCTTGACACTGGCCCTAAATACCTAGGCCCAGAACCAGCTTTAGTAGGATATCGGCTCTGTGCTGTTTTCTTATTTGGTGTTTGGTGGGCTGGGGTCTATTCATATGCCCTCCCTGGCCCCTTATAAGCGATGCCACGTGCTCGAGCAATGAGCCTCTTGTAGTCTGTGATTATGAGATAATGTGCCCAAATCATGAAGAGTGAGGGCAGTGCAGTCAGCCAGGACTTGACTGTGTGACCCTGAGCAAGTTATTCAACCTCTTTGGGCTTCATTTTTCTCATCTAAGAATAAACGAGGATTAAGTGAGTCCCTACCTTTTCTAAAGCTGTTAAGAAAATTAAACGACACGGAAAGCAGCTAGCATGGCCACCATGTTGACAACTGGGATTTCTAGTGGTGCTTCCTGTTACTGAGTGGCCCCCACAAAGGCTGACCTGGTCCGAGGTCATTAGCACAAAGAGTGAGCCCAGGCACAGGGCTGCCTTTTCGCTTTTATAAATTAAAATTCCATCCAGTGGTGGTGTTTGTTAGCCGCCTAGCCCACTGAGTTTTTTACAATAATACCGTGGTTACTCAGAACCCCTCAGGGAACACCAGCGTTCCAGGATTCTTGAGGATTATCTTAAATCATTTTCTAACATGTGTTGTGTACTCATGCTCGCCATAAGCATTCTTTCCCCCCACTATCCAATTTCCAAGACTCATATTCTGTGAGTTGGGAAACTATCTTGATAATGAAACTTGTTAGAATTATTTGCAAAGATAGAATAGATTTTAAAATGAGTGCTCCTCCCAGGAGCAGAATGCATGGGTTCTGGGACATTTGCATTGGTAGTTTCATTGCCTTTTCTGCTTTTCTGCTCTGTGGTTTTTCTCAGTATGCCAATTCGCTGAGCTTGGAGAGCAGAGGTGTTTCTGGACTGTGTTTTAGAAGAGCTGGGTCGAGGAGGCTGCTTTGAAAAGGTGGAGCAGAGTACAGCAATTAAGAATTTGGGCTCCAGCCTTCAGCCTGCCCGGGTTTAAGTGGTTGCTTTATTGGCTGCGTGTCTGATTGGCCATGTGAGTTGTATGCTATTGGACAAACTACTGAACACTTGTGACCTGTCACTCCAACGTTTTCATGATGATAAAAATGTCACATAGCTCATTTAATCCATCATGACATGGGCCTTCAGTCATGCCGGTAGGCCTTTAGGACAGTGCCTGGCATGTAGGAAGTACTCAATAAATGTCCATTAAGATCATTAAAGAAGGAAGAAAAGATAAGAAGCTTCGAGATTGACGGTTAGGAATCAGGTGATCAAATGAAGGAATAAGAGAAAGAAGTAAAATAAGAAGGAGCAAGGTGGACCTAAAAGACAAAGATCCTCCAAATTTTCTTAAGTGACGGGTGCATGTATTACAAGAGCTTTCTGACCCAGCCTGGGTTGAGAGGCACAAAGACAGAAATACTGCTGAATGTAGTCTATTACTAATCAGTTCACTGTCAATGAATTGCAGCTGACATCTGTTAGTGATGAGCTTTTAAAAACATTACTTTCTTTAGACACAGTTATTTATTGCTCTCTAGATAGGTTAGGTTTTTAATTTTTTAAGGGTTTTTCTTTTTCTTTTTTGAAAGGGGAGAGGGGAGATGTGGCTCTATTCCTAGAAGTTTGAGGAGAATAGAAATCAGGAAGTAAACCTCAGCCGGGCACTTTTCTCGGTAAGAACGTGTGTCTCCCTCCTGGGGCCATCTCCCCTACGACTCCCCACCCCGGTCAGGGGAAGACAGAGACAGACCAACCAATCCTGCAGCCCCCTAAGCCAGGTGCTGTGATGGGTAGGAATTTCTATTATTCTCAGTTTTGAGATGAGTAACTGGGAGTTTAGAGAGGTTCCACAACTTAGTCAAGACTAGTTAGTGACAAAACGAATTCAAACTCAGTTCTACCCTACTCCCAACTTGGATCCTGACCTTCTCTGCATGGCCACTCTGCTTGCTCATGGTGGTGGCAGCCAGGGACCAACAGGATGTGTGGGTCTGACTGTGTCTGTTCATATGCCCTCCTAACACAGGCATTTGGTGGCATTGGTTCGGTCCCCTCAGAAATGCAGATGATTGGCGGGAATGTCACAACCCCTCAGGAGACCTGTAGTGGCCTCTGGCAGTGGACCTATTTTGAGGCTTTTTGAGTTCATCTGCATAATTTTGTAGTGAAATCCTGTAGACTCCAGCAGGGGAGGCCTGAGCTGGTTTCCCAGCAGAGCTGGAGTCCACACTGCCTGATTCCAGCCGGTTCCCCAGCCACGCGGCCCGGTCCAATGGGTCCGGCGCTCAGCCTGTGTGT